AGTTTCAATTTTTTAAAATAAAATTATAAATTTAAAATTAGTATCATAAATTATAAAAGTTAATAATTTAAAATATTAAATATTATTAGAAATTATAATAAAAAAATATTTTTTTTAATTATCCAAATAATAATAAATGTGAAAGTTGATAGATTCAAAGCTGTGTCTGTGCTGGAGAAGATATATATACAGCTGCATTCGTGAATTTGGATAAGTTGGAATGTCACATATTTTGTGTATTCCAAAAAGATAATATTTTTAGAATCGTGATGTTTGGAATATTTTACGCGTATTCTGATTAATTTTATCGTATATTTATTATCTCTACTAATAGTAAGTATTAAATAACTTTATTAATCAAAATTATATTAATAGATTAAAAAAATATTTATAATTTTTGTCTCCGATGTCCAAAAAAGATAAAATGCAATGCACACATTTGGAAGTTGGAACTATTAATTTATTTAATACCTTAATTAGTATTCAAGCATAATTTATTTTAGTATGTTTATCATTATAAAAACATAGTATTATTCTTTTAGAAATAAATTGATTAAAAATATAGTATAACAATAACATGCTCAGTATCTTCTTGCAAAATGAGGTCTGGAAAAGATAAATACTCAGACCTTAACTCAAAGATAGCAAAGATTGTTTACGATAAATTCTCATCTTAAAAGAAAAAATAGTCCAAAACAGTTCAAAAAAAAAAGTACAAGACATAGTAGATAGTAACAAAAATGACAATTAATAACTAGGCAATAACTACACCAAAATAATATGATAGTCGAAGTACAAGAAATAACAAATAATATCAAAATATATATATTTTTTAAATAGTATCTTATAAAATCGATTAGTATTTAATATTTTGTCATGACTCCTCCACTGCCGACATTTCTTTTCGAACCGCTTTAAATATTTTCTACTGAAAATAACGTTTTTATTTTTCATATCAAAGATAAATTCTACGTACACTTTACTCTCCCTAAATTCTACTCATAAAATTATACTGGATATGTCATTGTTTCGAATAAAATTGAATACTAAAGTAAGTACTTACTTGTTGTCCACTTAAAGCTGCTATAAATTAATGTCCACATACTCAAAAGAGAATTTCTAGGCAAGTTTTTCACATTTTATTTGCCTTGTCATTGATAATCCAATAATTATATTGTCACTTTTTCGTTTTTTTTTTTTTTTTTTAGTTTGGACCCAATAATAAAGGAGTGGAAGGAAAAAGAGAATTAAAAATTAAAATAGGATCATGCACCTTATGGAAAGTGTAATATTTTGCATTATAAATGGTCCATTCAGCATACTACTTTTTTTTTCCCTCTTTTTTATGACCCAAGAGGTTGAAGAAAAAAATAATATTTTTTTTAATTTCAAAATGTAAATTTGAGATTTTTAATTGAGCGCGAAGGAATCCTATCGATTCGATTAACGATGAACAAGTTTAGTTTTTTGTTATAAGTGACAATTAATCACATTTAGATCTTCTAATTATTAAGAACACTTAATAAAAAAAGGGATTACGATTCTCGATTATTTATTTTAAATTTATGAATGTACAAGTCACCATTATTGCAAAATAAATAAATACTAATACACTCCCTCAAATTCTAACTATTATGGAGTACTTTTTTGGTAAATTAAATTTGTTTTAAAATATTTCACGTTTTAAAAAACTGAAGAATCATTTTTTTCCTTTTCAAATCTATTCATATTGCTCAAATTAATGAAAATGTGACTAAATAAGACACTTAAGAAAAAATAAATGATCATTTTAAAAATTAATGTCAACTTCAATCGACGGTCCCAAAAAGTAATAATAAGATATCTCGATAATTGAGGGAATTTGATTTTATAACTATTAATTAAATGATTATTTGAGAAATCAACTTATCCACGGAGGCAAGTTAATTCAAATATTAATTTGATCTATTTTCTAGTCATAAATAGCCCCACCATAGAGGCCATAACTTTAAATTTGTGGTCTCTATAATACTTAAATTAAACTAGAGGTTTTATTGAGATATTTTGTTAGACATCAAACCCACCACCAAATTTTTTTTGTGTAGAATAGTCAATAAATCATGTTTTTTTTAAAAAAAATCGGTGTCGAGTAAACTCACTTGAAGTTATAATTTTTAATTTAGATTCATACTACATAATAAAATTCGTTCAAGCGGAATCATATTTTACGGATTTTTTTTTTCCTTCTTATTTTCAAGATTCAAATCTCGAAATGTTGTTAAAGTAAAGAAGATCGTATCTTATATTACATCACAATCCTTGTTGATGTCACATGCACATGTTGCACATTGTACTATCGAATTCAAATATACTTCAATATGACACATAAATTTTACGACATGGGGATTCATTCAAAACTCTCTATATCTAGAATAATTAAACATCATTTTTAAGACAAATTTCAGTTGTTCAACCAATTATCACAATCCTTGTTAATGTCACATGCACATGTTGCATTGTACTACCAAATTCAAATATACTTTCAATATGGGACATAAATTTCACAACACGGAGATTCATTCAAAACTCTATATATCTAGAATAATTAAGCATTATTTTTAAGACAAATTTCAGTTGTTCAACCAATTATCACAATACTTGTTAATGTCACATGCACATGTTGCATTGTACTACCGAATTCAAATATACTTTCAATATGGGACATCAATTTCACGACATAAAAATTCATTTAAAACTATATTTAGAATAATTAAACATCATTTTAAAGACAAATTCCAGCTGTTCAGCCAATTTTAAACATGTATAATAGTGAAGAATCTTAATTTGGATATAAATTCTTATTTTATGTACAACTATATATATGATTCTTGGCTTTTCTTACCGGTAATATCGACAACATTTGTTTAACATATTCAATACGTACGTTTCTTCTTTACTTTTTGTTTGTTCTGTTTTAATTATTCGGTATACAAAATTGACTGATTCAACTAATTTAGATTTATGTCTCATAAAATTCATCAAGGGTTGTTATTTTGTTCCCTAGGCCTAGACCACGTTATAAGTACTACGAATTTTTATATCTTCTTTATTTTAATTTGAGACATCTGATTATAGAATTTCAATCATCCTACCACATTCCTCGACAATACGAAACATGTTTTGTTATATTTAATACGTAGGGTTAGGTACCGGTTAACGTCCATAAGATCAATACTTTAATTGAATCCAGACATTATTTTATTTTTTAGGTTGCGTTTTTTAGTTTTGTTTATTTTTGAAAGTTTAGTTTTGTTATTTTGTTAGAAAAATCGTGTGATTTGAATAGTTTTTTTTTTGTTTTTTTAAAAGAACTTTTGTAGAAATACTTAACTTTTGAGTTGCTTTTGTTTTCTAAAATCATTTTTGGTTTTATTAACTTGAAGAAACCAAATTAATTTATTATTATAGCGAAATATTTATTTCTCGCTTGGTGTCCGGTCCTTAATTTAGGGAATAAATTCAACGTTGCCTAAGAATGACTAAATTTATTTGCAATTCTTAGTTTAGAAAGATAACATATTATGTCCTTCGGGATGACTCAATTGGTTTGGAGTGGATGATTCGGGATCGATCCCCCTCAATGCCTTCTGAGTCAAGCCTGTCATATAAGGTTTGCCTAATGTGATTTACATCCTCTGTATGATTTGTAGACTATTACATAGTTGAGAGTTTACCCAGTGTGCTACAAAAGTTATAGCGACTATGAATTATTTCAGAGTTTAAAAAAAAGATAACATATTATAATTATAGTAATCTTAAATGTACGTAGCATTTGTATTGTTTTTCCTTACATGTAAAGTAATTCACCAAAATGGAATAAAATAAAATAAAAATCAAAGTGCCATTGTACAATTAATGTCTTTTTTTTTTGTTTCCCGTCACATGTTTGATATCCGTTTTAATATTCGATTTATAATGCAAATTTAAGCGTTCTCTAAAAATGAAGGAATCATATTTTATTGACAATTCATAATTTTAGAAGAATATGATATGATCTTTTAAGTTTTAAGATATTTTAGTAATTTTGAATGTATTATTGGATTTTTTTTCCTTAGACGTAAAATAATTTAACTAAACATGAAAAGATAAAAAAAAAAAAAAAGAATCGCTACACAAAAATAATGTTTTTTTTTTGTTTCACTCATGGTGTCTGGTCTGCTCTTGAGTCTCGACGCTCCATCAATGCAAATTCACGTTGGAAAAACCTTTGTAAACCACTTTGTACTAAAAAAAATAAAAATTGTCGAACTTGTAATTAAAGATAAAAAATTTATTTCTAATTTTAGAAGGAAATAGTTTTATTTTTAGCAAATAAAAAATAATCTTGAATTTTAGAAGGATTTCATTTACCCTTTAAATGTAAACTAATTCATCAAAATAAGAAAAGAAAAGAAATAATATCCCCTTCATTATTTGATTAAGTTTTGACTTAACATGAATTTAAATAAATAAAAAATATTTTTAAATTTTATGATCTTAAACTGGAGATACGTGAAATGTATCAAAGTATCTTTTCATTTGACGATTCTAAACATCTATACTTGAGCAGATGGTCTTTTGGAAACATCTTCTCTATCTTCACGTAGTAGTATAAGGTTCACATACACTTTATCTTCCCCAAACTCTATACTTATAAGGGTCCAAAAGGTACTTCAAACCCTTCTAGCTGAAAAATACTATTTATACGTGATTAAAATTATTTTTTATGTAATATATATAATAGATATTGAACCCCTTCGACTTGTTTGTGGTAAAAATTCTAACTCTACTACTATTCACGGAGTATTGTTGTTGTTATTGGTTGTTATAAATATGTTATATCAAAAGTTGAAATTAAAAATTTACGAAAAAAAAGACATTCTTTTTTAAACGAATTTATCCCCGATGATAAAAATAGTGTCTACATGCACTCTCCTCCTAAGTAGTACAAATAGAGACGTTACTTGTGATCTTTTTTTTTTCTCCACTGCCACTCTCTGCCTACAATTTCTCTCCCTTTTATCTCTCTCTGCCATTTGTTTCAAAACTAACTTCCATAATTCCTCTTAATACAACACCTAATCACTTCTAAATCTCATTTTATCTACTCTTAATCTCACAATTATCCAAGAAAGATCACTTTTTTAACCTATAGAGTCATAAAAGAGCGATCTTTATTGTATTTTCTTGATTTGGGTTTATACTTAATAGCAATCTTGGATCACTTTTTAGTCTTGAAAGGACAAAAAGTGATCTTTTTGGGTATTTTCTTGTTCTTGGGTCTGTAGGATTTTGGGGATTTGAAGTGAAAAAAAATGGTTGTTAAGTTGATGAAGTGGATGCCATGGCCTCCACTTCTATTATCTAAGAAGTTTGAGGCCAAGATTACTGTAAATTGCCTTAAAGGTTTCAGCTTTTTGTCAGAAAAGCATGTGGGGGTCCAAGATTTTGATAGATTGAGAGTTGGAATTAAGTGGAAGGGATCAACAAAGGGGATTTCTTTGAATTTGAGCTCTTTTACTAGGAAAAGTGTAAAGAAGAATTTTACAAAAGAAGAGTCTTTAAAGGAAGATGAGGGGATTGTTGAATGGAATGAGGAGTTTTTGAGTGTTTGTAACTTTTCAGGTTATAAAGATGGTGTATTTCATCCTTGGGAAGTTGTGTTTACTGTGTTCAATGTGAGTACTTGATTGCTTTTTACCTTTGATATATCCTTATGGTGTTTTATGTTTTTGGCTGTTGAGTGAAAAGGAATCCAATTATTTCTCTTGAAAAGAATTGATATAATGTTTTTTGGGCTGCTATAGCGAAATGTTATTATAGAGAACATATAATATAACATAACCTAACATGAAAATTGGTTTCAAGGAGATCTTGTCTGTTGTAGCGAATATGTTGTTATAGAGGATCTCTGGTATTTGTTTTGGCTTTTGTTATCGTACATTTTGTTGTGGATGCTTGTTCTTTTTCTCAATTGTTTTTAGCATGGTTTCCTCGTTACTGTATTTGTTTTACACACTTGTCTTTTTGATTCTGCTTTACTTGAGCCGAGGGTCTATCGGAAACAACCTCTATAACTTCATAAGGTGGGGGTAAAGGTTGTGTACGCACAATCTCTTGATAGTTGTGTTGTGAATCCTGATCATGTCCATACAACTTTTTGGGATGATAAATTTCTTGGATTTCCTTAAATTAGGAATTTGGTTTTCTTTATTGGTTAAATTGATGCTTGGTTTTTGATTATTTGATCATGGTAATTTAGGTATATTGCAGCAGCATATGTATGAGCCTGTTCAAAGGACATTTAACAAAGAGTTGCTTGATAAAATCCATCATCAATATGGTTTTTATGGTTTTTACTGAGTTTTATTACCACTAGTAAACTTAGTGAGTTTAACAGTGGCAAAGCTAGAAATTTCGCCTAAAGTCTGATATATACACAATATAATTTTCTCATATGCTAATGGCTTAAATTGAGTTTTTAACTTTGTTATATTACTCTCTAAAATTTTGAAGAATGGAGATACTATTCCAAAAGCTTTTTAAGCCTTCTGGAATGTAATGATTGCCTTTTAATGGATTACACTTTTTGAGCCTGTTGGGGTCATTTATTTTGATGTTATATGGTGGATGGTGAGACCTACTATAGTTCATTCATATATTTCTCTGGACATATACAACTGTACTTTTTGGAAAGGAAAAAGACATTATTGGCATAGTCTCTTATTAATTAAAAATGGTAGCAATTGCTTATTATATTTATTATTGTTGTTGTTGTTGTTGTTGTTGTTGTTATTTATTTATTTATATATATATATATATATATATATATATATATATTATACTTATTTTCATTTCTACTCTTATTTGGTATGATGATGACATCAGTTGAGCTTAAATGGAATAGTAAATACTTATAGCCGATCCACCAACTTGTTTGGGACTGAAGCGTGTAATTGCTGTTCTTCGATAGGCTCAACGTTGTCCTTAGCTGCATGTTTCTTTGACTTCTTTGAGCCTATCTCGTCGTACATGATAATTGCATTTTTTCTCAATCCATGGGTGTATTACTTTACAGTAATTTCTCAATTGAACTCCTTGTTTTTGTGTTCATTCGTTGTTCGTATACTCCCTTCCACGTGGTTCTCCGTGAGCAATACTCATTCATACTTCTTCTGAATCAGGGTACAAGCAAAGGACCAGATCAGAAGGTACCAGTACTTGCTGCTGCGACATTGAACCTTGCAGACTTTGCTTCATTAGCTGGAGAAAAAGAAGACGGCATTGAAATATTCGTTCCTTTGGAAGCCTCTATTGGCAAATTCAAGAGTTGCCTTTCACTCTGTGTAAGAGAAACTAAAGCATACCTTTTGTTTGCTCTCTCGTATTCCTTCAGCAATGTGAATATATCATTTGATCAGTATCTTCAGCAATGTGAATATATCATTTGATCAGTATCTTTCGCATCTACTTGTATATATATGTGTGTGACTGTTTCCTAAAGACATGTTCATACATTTGTCAACAGCTATCGCTCAACCTTGTGGAATTGAGGAACACTAACGAAGCTTCAGAGAACATTCCAAAGTTTATCAGGTCTGCTCCAGTATCTCCAAATACTGGAAAGGTTTTGTTGATAGACAGAAATGAGGGTTCTTCTTTAAAAGCAGGTCTGCAGAAAGTTAAATTTTTCAAGGCATTATCTATTAGGCGACACAAGAAGGCATATCATGAAGAGGAAGGCAGCAGTGATGGAAGGAACTCAGTCAGAAGTGAGGATCCCAATTATGTTTACCCAGTGGATACAGATTCACTTGATGATGATTCAGAAGATGGAGAATCGGAGGAAGGAATGGAGGATACAAGCGTTCAGAAGTCATTCAGTTATGAAACACTTGTCTATGCAAACCATGCTGGTGGATCATTTTGTTCAAACACAAGCAGCAGCGACGACGACGAGGATTTAGTCCACTACAGCCATCATATTTCAGACACAAGGCACAAGTACCCCGAGGATACAACTGCAGCACTACAAAATCAATCTGCAGAGCAGAGTTCTAAACGCAGTATTCTCCCCTGGAGAAAGAGGAAGTTGAGTTTCAGATCTCCTAAAACCAAGGGGGAGCCGTTGTTGAAGAAACATTATGGAGAGGATGGTGGAGATGATATAGACTTTGATCGTCGACAGCTTTGCTCATCTGATGAATCTTCTTCAGGGGTACGTTTCGTGCTTTCCTTGTCATGTTTGATTGTCCCAGTATCTAAATAGAATTTGCATAGTGTCATTTATTATCTTCATTTCATGATCTAATCAATCTGCTACCTATTACTTGTACACCAATATGCCTGTCGTATTGAAGATTTATTGAGTTTTGAGAGCTTCCTTTAGTAGCTTCTCTACTTGTATAGTTGTATCAAGAGTCTATATTGTTGAGGTTTTCATGTTCATGATTGAACATGTATATGTCATAACTAGTCCTCTTAGCAATGTGTGTAATTCTTGCAGTGGTACAAATCTGAGGAAGCTTCTCCAAATCGATTTTCTATCTCCGAGTTTGGAGATGACAGTTTTGCTGTGGGTAGTTGGGAGCAGAAAGAGATAATAAGCCGTGATGGACAAATGAAGCTGAAGACTCAGATATTCTTTGCTTCGATTGATCAACGAAGTGAACGAGCTGCTGGTGAAAGCGCTTGTACAGCCTTGGTTGCTGTCATAGCTGATTGGTTCCACTGCAATCCTGAGGATATGCCCATCAAATCCCAACTTGATTGTCTTATCCGGGAAGGCTCACTGCAGTGGAGGGATCTTTGTGAAAAAGAGACCTACATGGAATGTTTCCCAGATAAGCATTTTGACCTCGAGACAGTCCTGGAGGCGAAAGTGCGTCCACTCTCAGTCGTCTCCGAAAAATCATTCATTGGGTTCTTTCATCCTGAAGGAATCGAAGAAGAGGAGGGATTTGACTTCCTTGATGGTGCCATGTCTTTTGACAACATATGGGACGAGATATGTAAATCCGCTCAAGAAACTCCCGGTCATGGCGACTCCTTTGTTTACATTGTGAGTTGGAATGATCACTTCTTTATCCTCAAGGTTGAAAAAGATGCATACTATATCATCGACACACTGGGCGAGAGGCTTTTTGAGGGTTGTAACCAGGCATATATCCTCAAGTTCGACAAAGACACAACAATTATGCGGGTACCTCGTGAGTCTCAACAATCAGATGATAAGCCATCTAGCGATAGAAAAGAGAAATCTGATGTCAAAGAAGCTACTGATGAAGGCAAAATTGTCGTTTGTACCAATGGCTCCGACAAAATGCAGGAAGACATGGTACCTGAAATCATTTACAGTGGTAAAGAGGCATGTAAAGAGTACATTAAGAGTTTTTTGGCAGCAATCCCTATTAGGGAGTTACAAGTTGATGTAAAGAAAGGATTGATGGCATCGACACCCCTTCATCAACGGCTACAAATTGAATTCCATTACACAACGAGCTTTGACCCGAAGTTTGAGTCATCATCTACACAAGGACTGACCGCTAACAGTTTGGCCATACTACCGTCAGCATCAGAGTAAGCAACGATTGATAAAGCTTTATGAGTATATGCATAATGCTAATCATTTTTGTTCTACATATCATTTTAGGAATTTTGAATAGCTAACTGCTGTTTAGTGCCCCCTGGAGAGTCTCTTCTTTTCTGTGTTTTCTTTCGTATATGAGTGTAACTAGCTCGGTATCTTCTTCGTCTTTTATTTCTTGTACGCGGGAAATGATAATGTAAATGACTATGGAACTGTTCAAGAGTACTCATTTTTTTGTTCTCTCAAAGAGGGGAATTGAGTTAAATGAATATATTAGTTCCATATTGCTCTTGATTATTGTTTGTTTTTCTTTATTTGAAATCATGCTTGCTCAGAATTGGAGTAAATGAAGCTTATAGCTCATTTCTAAGGAAATTTCATTGAGCAAACATAAGCAAAGTGAGTTTTTCTTGTAATCTTCTCCTTCACAACTCATGATTTCTTTTAATCAGTAAAAAGAAAGTATACTGCACCATCACATTGTGGGTACATTAGGAGAATCATTTTTCTCTGGACTTGGAGCAATAGTAAAATTGTCTACGCGTGATCTATAGCCTATAGGTCACGAGTCCGAGCCGTGAAACCAATTGTTCCATTGATGTTTGCAACTATGCACCAAGGTAGGCTGTTTGCATATGTCTGTGTGTGACTTATAGGTCACAAGGTTTGAGCAGGGAATCAGATGTTGATGGTTGCATCAGGGTAGGTTTGTTACGTATATGTCTCCGTGTTACTCAAAGATCATGGGTTCGAGCCTTGGAATCAGTCATTGATTCTTGTGTCAGGGAACACTGTTTACATATATGTCTCTCTGTGACAGGTCTCGGGTTCGGGTCGTAGAATCAGCAATCTATGTTCACGTCAAGGTAGGTTGTCTAAGTTACACCCCCTTGCAGAGGCAGAGCTATATCATTAGCTATGGGTTCGGACGAATCTAGTAGCTTTTGCTTAGATTATGTATTTATATTAGAAATTCATGAAGTACATATAAATATTTAGTTGTGAACCTAGTAACTAAAGACAACTTATGTGTTTTGATGACAAATTCAAGATTCATAAACTTTAAATCTTAGTTCCGCCTCAATCTGAGACATGTAATACTTGACAAGCAAGTTTTCTCAAGTGGCATCACTCTACTTTTTGAATCAACCAAAGAAAGAACTACAATTCTTTCAAACAAGAACAAAAGATACTTTTCAAAGTTAAAAAAATATCCGCCTCAATCTGAGACATGTAATACTTGACAAGCAAGTTTTCTCAAGTGGCATCACTCTACTTTTTGAATCAACCAAAGAAAGAACTACAATTCTTTCAAACAAGAACAAAAGATACTTTTCAAAGTTAAAAAAAATAACAAAAGGCTTTGTGTACTTTTTTGAGTTAATTTCTTGTATTATCACTTGACTAACAATTTTTATTTTAAAAAGTCACTCAATTTTGCTTTATAACACAAAATCACTCAACTAATGGTAATTATATCATAAAGTCACTTAACTTTATTTTGTAACAGAAAAGTCACTCAACTATTGTTATTTCAGCTACATAGTCAAAATTGCCACTATAAATAATATTAAAACTGAATGTCCATGTATTTATATAATATGTGTATTAATTTATACTTGAAGAGCAAGTTTTGGTTGGTGACTAATATAATTAGTGAATAACTTTTAGTTACTATGAGACTAATCTAATTAGAATCTAACTAATTACTTGGTGACTAAGTATTTTTTCTTTTCTTATAAATAGGAAGGATCTCTTGCCATTTAAAATGTTTAAGATCAATATCAAGATCATCAAGTAAAGTTTCAATATTAGTAGCAATTTATGTTTGATCAAACTTAAATTATTTTTTCAACTTCTGTTACTACTCAAAAATACTTAATTTTTCCTTAAAAACTCGCTTAAACACCTCAACTCGTTAAAATAAGTACTTTTTTTTTAAAACTAAAGTTTTGCAATAGCTTTGCCTAACATATTATAAAAAAATCATTCATATTTATTCCATTCATAATTAGATGTAGAATTTGAACAGATGTTTTGTAATATCTTCTTGTTTTGGAACATTATAAGTTAAATACAAAAAAAGTCATATTCTTATTTTATATCTGTCCCTAGTGTAAAAATATAATTCAAATTTGTCCTTATTGATCTATTCCAAATCTATATGCTAAATATCTTTTTTTATGTATATCCTTAGGCTAAATATCTTAAAACTTGAATCTATTTATTTATGTGAAGGCAAAATTTGAGGAGGGAAAAATGGATATTCAAGATATTGAGTGTCCACTAATATCAAAATCAAGAAATGAAGAATCCAAGAATAAGAGAAAATGTGATGATTTTCTTGAAGAAGTTAAGAAGATTTTGGCATTAGCAGGGCCTTTAATGTCAGTTAATTTTCTTCTATATTGCTTACAGGTAAGGGTGTCAGATGAACGAGTTAGGTTGAATTTGAACAGATTAAAATGAGCTAAGTTGATAAATTTATCGAGTCAGTAATCCGTCCAAACTTAAAGGGGTTGGGTGGATCATTTTTTATATATGGGCTGATTTTGTAACCTCTATTTATAGGTGATTTCAGTTATGTTTGTTGGTCATCTTGGAGAGTTAGCTCTTTCTGGTGCTTCAATGGCTACTTCATTTGCCACTGTCACTGGCTTCAGCTTGTTGGTGAGTATTTTGTGCTTCACATCTTTTAAATGTAGATGAGAGTCTAGTGTTGTCAAAGGCGCGTAAATGCTCCAAATTTGAATTATGTACACCTAAACACCTCAACTCGTTTCCATTATCTCAGTTGAACACTCCAACTTACAAAATATCACCTAGACCCTCTAAGATTTATGTGTTATATTAGTATCGGGTGTCCACAAGACACATTGGAGGCAAGTTGGAGTGTTTAGTTGCCAGTTGAGATTAAATTGAGGTGTCCAGATGTGCACTCTCAAAGTCGGAGTACTTGTCTGCTAAGGCCAAGTTTGGGTGTTTGTATACATATTATGCCTATAATTATTAGTCTTGGACTATACATTCATATATTTGTCTCTTTTGTTTTTCCATTTGCGCCTTTTTTCAATAAAGCTCACACTTTATTTGCGCTTTACTCTTAAAGCCCGGCATACCTTACAACTTTTTTTTCCCATTTTCGCCTTTGGTTTAACACTGGATATATTACTCTGTCAAATTAGCTAAAAACACTTGAATTGAAACTAACAAGCATGAAAATTAAGTTTATATGCTAGTTATCCCTCTGTTTCAATTTATGTGGCATGCATTTGACTTGGCACGGAGTGTATGAACGAAAGAAAAGAAGACTTTTGAAACTCGACATGGCATTTCTCTGGCTACGAAAGAACCATAAGGATAATTGTTCTGATATACAGAGAGGTGTCGTTCTTTTTGGAGCAGACTAATAAGGAAAGAGAGTCAGATAAAACGGAATAGACAAGCATATGATATTTGAAGTAGAAGAACTTGTGTTGTTATATCAGTTTGCTTCTTTAACTATTACTCAACTTGTTAAATAAAAATCTACTTTTTGATCTTTGCATTTTTATTTTTTTTTTATCAGATGGGAATGGGAAGTGCATTGGACACAATTTGTGGGCAAGCATACGGTGCAAAGCAATATCATATGCTTGGTATCCATATGCAAAGGGCCATGATAGTTCTTCTTTTAGTCAGCATTCCCTTAGCCTTTATTTGGGCAAATGCAGGACATATTCTTGAAATCTTGGGACAAAGTCCGGAAATTGCAGCCGAAGCAGGGGATTATGCATGTTTCATGATACCGAGCATCTTTGCTTATGCACTACTACAATGTCAGATGAGGTTTCTACAAGCTCAAAACGACGTCCTCCCTATGATGCTTACTGCAGGAGCCACAACTTTGCTGCATTTATTCACTTGTTGGTTTCTCGTGCTCAAAACCGGCCTTGGCAACAAAGGGGCTGCTCTGGCTAATGCTGCGTCTTACTGGATTAACGTGTTCTTGCTAGCTGCATATATTGGGATATCGCCTTCTTGCAAAAGTACTTGGACTGGATTTTCAATTGTAGCATTTTCTGATATCCCGAGATACCTTAGACTAGCTATTCCTTCAGCTGTTATGGTTTGGTAATTCCTCGGTCACTTCTTCTTACCAATGCATAGAGCCATAGACATATAATTAATTCCATTGAATATATGAAAAAATCGCCTTTTTATATGCACGGTTTCAGCTTGGAGAGTTGGTCATTCGAAATGATGGTTCTGTTATCTGGTCTTCTTCCTAATCCGAAACTAGAAACCTCAGTTCTTTCAATCAGGTTAGTTCTCAAACACATTTATTACTATCACATTCAACATCATGTTTCTATCATATTTCGCCTCGTGTTAACTCACTGCTATATACTCCAATTTTTCAGCCTTAATACATCTTCAATGATATACATGTTGCCTTTTGGACTAAGTGGTGCCACAAGGTGAAAGTTTTCATACTCCGCTTTTTCCTTCTTTCAGCATTACCTTATAACTATTTCTCACATTTTATATCTTTGTTCCTCATCAGCATAAGAGTTTCAAATGAATTAGGCGCTGGACGACCAAAAGCAGCTCGTATAGCAGCATATACTGCATTGTTCTTAGCTACTACAGAAGGAATTCTAGTAGCAATGTTCATCATTTCGATTCGTAAATTTTGGGGGCATTGCTACAGCAATGAGGAAGAAGTAGTAACATATGTATCAGAAATGTTGATGTTTATAGCAGGCTCACACTTCATAGATGCAAATCAATCTGTACTTTCAGGTTTGTTTCAAATCCTCAAAAGGAACAGTTCCTTTAAGACATTTTTTCAACAATCTTATAGTTTCAATAATGTAAAATTTTAGGTATTGCTAGAGGATGTGGTTGGCAAAAAATAGGTGCAATTGTTAATTTGGGAGCTTATTATCTATGGGGAATACCTGCTGGTATTGTATTAGGTTTTTTCTACCATGTTGGAGGAAAGGTACTTCTCTATGCATTTTGTTTAATTCTTTAACTATGTTGCTCGGACTCTCTAACAGTGTCACACAGTTCGTGCCAGATTCTTCAGAAGTAGTGGATGTTTTGAGGATACGGGACGGTCGTGGAAGCATTTATGGACTATGTTGCTCGGACTTTTCAAAAATGTTGATGGTGCATGTTGGATCCTGGAGGATTCAACACGAGTGCGGCAACATTTTTGGAGAGTCTGTTTGACATAGTTCTATAATGCATTATGACAATGAACTCTCCAAGAATGTTGTATGTTGCGTGTTGAATCCTTCAAAAGTAGTGCATTTTTAGAGGATCCGATACGGTGCGGTAACATTTTTGGAGAGTCCGTGCGACATAGTTCTTTAATGCACTATGACAATGAACGTTACTCTCCAAGAATGTCGTATGGTGCGTGTCGGATCCTCCAAAAATAGTGCATTTTTTAAGAATCCAACACGAATGTGGGAGCATTTCTGGAGAGTCCGTGCAACATAGTATTTTAATGTATTATGACACCAAACTCTCCAAAAATGTTGTATGATGCGTGTCAGATTCTCCAAAAATAGTGCATCTTTTGAGGATCTGACACGAGCGCATGGGAGCATTTATGGAGAGTCCGAACAACATATATAGTTCTTTAATGTATTATGACAACACTAATGATTTTATACTTTTTTGTATGTTATTAAAAGGGACTTTGGTTGGGACTCACTCTATCACTTCTTGCTCAAGCCCTCATTTATTTAGTAGTTACTCTCAGAACAAATTGGGACAAAGAGGTAAAAATCTATTTATTTTTTCCCTCCTTTTAAAAAAACTCATTTCAATTGTTTTGATGTGTCACTTCTTCCTTAAGGTCTCTTTAGAGGCGGTAAAATTAATTCATTTTTTAGTGACCATTCAAATACGCCCGAATTTGAATAGGTTGAATTTTGACAATTTTGTTGACTTGACCTAACAAATTGAACCCGAAATGACGAATCTAACTATTAGGTTTTTAAAAAGGTGAAAGTGCAATCCGCACAAATTTAATCCAATCCGTCCATTTGTCAGTTCTATTTTCATTATATATTTTTGTGTTTTTTAATAAATGATGAAGTCTTCTTTGTCCTTTTTTGTAGGCAAAGAAAGCAGCTGATAGGGTGATTCCAGAGTTAGCATAGAAGAAAATATTTTAAAGAAAGTATCATATAGAATTGAACATTTTGGATCTACAAATGGTTTAGTTTTGGGACAATTTTGTTCTTGTTTTAGTTTTGAAAAAATAAATGTGAATATTTTGATTTTGTTTTGGTTACATAATTTTTGGAATTGGGAGGTATGAACTTCCCAATGACAAGTTTCCTTTTCAACAAAGTCACTTTCGCCGTCAGAGTTTAAATTAGAAGGTTGATTACAGATTCATCTGAACTCAGTAGTTTTTACTATAAATTAGTTGTTATTATTATATACATTATTGTAGACCCCTTCAAACTTCTAATCTTGAATTCGCTTACGTAACAGATGTGAGTTTGCATTTTCTTTGATCTCTAAACCTAACAAGTAAATATAATTACACACATGGAAGATAATACATGCTATTAAAAATTGAGTATGAGAAAAGCCATCTTCCTTCTTCAAATATAATGCATGATTTATAACGCCTAACTTATATATTTTAGACGGCTTCAAATAGTTTTTTTAATTCTATTTTGTATTGGTGTTTGTGTCACTTTGATTATTTTATAGAGTATTTTCTATTTTTCACAAACATAGATGTCATGTAACTTTATTCACTAAATTCAGACAGATTAAATTTAGAAGAAAATCACCTTAAGCTTTTTTTTTGCCTTTTGCTAAAATTTGAACGTGAGATCATGATTGTCCCGTTTATTTCATTAATCACTATGATCACACCCTTGAACCCAAGTTAGTCAAAAGGCTGATATAAAATTATAATTCTCTCTTCCCTTTTCTTTGCTTTTTTTTTTTAAAAAAAAATAATTGTTTTGTCTGTATGTGTGGGATGGGGGTGGGGGTGGGGGGTGGGGGGTGGGGGGAGTCAATGTCAAACTATCCACAATATATCAATATAGCTGTCATAGCCCCAACCAAATTCTACTTAAAAGACAAAATATATATTTATTTAGTTTGTTTCCATTTCGTGTATGGTATTTACTTTGGGGCACTGATTAATTAAAATTTGTATCGTATGATATTCATTTAAAAGAAATTGCTTTTTATCAGTGTTTTTTTCTCTTCATATGGTTTAAATTTGAGACTTTTAATTTAGAATGGAGGAATCACGAAGGAGTTGTGCATCACATTAATGATCTATCTGCTGATTAATTAATTAATGTGATATCTTAATGAATGTATTGAAAACTGATAGGAGAGCCCGACATAATTCGTTTCTAAGAAATGACCTGAATCAATAGGTTCAGCTGTAATTATTGACTCGTTAAATAAAATTAAAATGAAGTTCAACTAAGATTCAATAATTCGCCAATCGATTAATAAATTTTAAAATAAATTTGGGACTTTACACTCTCCTTCTATAATATGATTTTTAGTATCTCGATATATTCTCTTGTAGTTTTCTTCTTTGGCCAGCTCAAAAGCTATCCATATGCATGATTTGCATTTTTTTCTAATGAATTGACATTTTATAATTTATATGTATATTAGTACTTATTATGGTGTTGGCAATATAAACAAATCATTGTTGTGCTCAAAATATATTTATTTCTTAGAAAAATTAAGAAGGTTGTATTATTTCTTTCCTATTTTATTTCTTTTCAATCTCTATCTTACTAGTCAACTAATAACTAATTAAGATTATTAAATATTTTTCTTAATAAATACAAAAACTTAGAGATAATACTATAATTTATGTGTGGTTGCCACGGATGCGAGAGGCCATCCTCACAATAATATCTTTCCGCTCTTGAGAAAAGTTCTTCCCCTCTTCTTTCAAAGTTTGAATTTGATTAAAGAGCTGTTTTTTTGAAATTAAAAAAAAAATTACAAATGTATGTGAACAAGAAACAAATTGAAGAACATGCCACTTTACAAAAAAATCCCTAATTTGGTACTAATATTTACTTTATGGTCATTTGGATTTTTTTACAACAAGGAGAAGATAACATTAACCCCCACACCCCAACAAAAAAAGGAAAAGGAAGAAAAACCATATTATATCTTCTTTAATAAGTTTGTTGATGAGGGGTGAGGGGTGATTCAATCACAAAATGCGATGAAATAGATGAGATTCTTTTATTTTTAATCAGAAGTATTGACTTTGAGTTGTGGGAACAAAAACAATCTTGATAAAGAACATTTTTCTCTTTATTCAGTTTTGTGCTCCACAAATTCAAATATATCAATGATGAGTTTCGAATATCAGATAATTAAAGAAAAAATGATATATGATTGTACTCAACTTTATTATTTCATTGGAAGTGGAGAATTTCTACAAATTGGGCAAGTTGGATGAAGCCTTAACCAAGGGTCAATACATTTAACATGAAAAATATGACCACAATTAGACAATAATCTTAACATATCATTGTCTTTATAATCACCCAAACAAATAGAACATCCGGAGGCAACAATATCATCATCAATATTATTATTATTATCCTCTTTATGATAATAATGAACTTTTGCTTGAGAATATAATAACTTTGGATAATTTCTCAAAATTTCTTCATCAATACCTTGTTGAACAAAAACCAATTCATCACCAACAATTGTAGAGCTACCATGAGAAGAAGATGATGAAGAATTATTATTAGGCATGTTAGAATTGTTGCGCGATCGCGATCGCGATTGGATACATAAGTAAGAAGCATAAGCCATGACTGAAAATAATATTAGGACACCAAGTGAAAATCCAATTCCATAGCCATAATTTTTTCCAAAAGTTTCTTCACTTAACTCAACATCATTTGGACCTTCACTATCTTCCATAATTGTATTGTTCATGATGGAGTAGAAGGGAAAAAAATGGAGGATCTAATTGTGGATTTTTTGTGAGATGGAATGGAAAATGAGATGCATAGAATTATTTAATTATATATATATATATATATATATATTAGTGAGGGACATGATGTCATGAAGGACTCAAGCAACCTAAAAAGGGTTGACCAAGGAAAAAGAATCAGCACAAATGCTTCGTACATCGGATTGTCATATTATTGCTCTGAATAGAGATAATTATTGATATATTACAATATAGGTCAAGTGATACTGATCGTGTGAAAAATTATTAAATTGTTAGTTCATATATACCCCCACCCCCTCCCCCGTCTCTAAATACTTGTCGGGTTTCATTTTACAAAAGTCAAACATATATTTTGATAACATTTTGCGATATATCTTTTCAAGAAAAAATGTTACTTATAATATCAAATTTGATTCTCGAGAAACGAAACATGACAATTAATACATGATAAAAGAAGGTATAATTTTAATGATTTCTTTTTATATTTGTAGGGTGTGGGGGGAAGAGGGGGGGGGGGGGGTTAAGGTCATTACCAGTCATGTAGCTTCCCAAGATTGCAACTTGGCTAGTTAAACTAGAAACTCATTCTTTATCCATGTTGACTTTAACTGACTGGTGGAGTTGAGAAATTTATGTGAGGAAAACTTATGCAGTGATAAAATATGTGTTGTGAGAGGGATTGATTTACAAAACAATTATAATTGAGTTTAAAATTCAAACTCTAGTACAAAGTACTATTTCTCATAGGTCGAAAAGTGACCAGTAAATATTATTTCTACATGAAAAAGTACCAAAATAACAGTAAAATCGGGAGTAAATTTATAATTAAATATTTTTAAATATAAAAATATATCATTATTTTTGTAATGGACTAGTAATATCACACAAATTGAAACGAAGGAATCTAAGTATATTTCTTATCCAATATAATAAATTTTAGTTTTCAGCAAAGCCAAGGTAATAAAGGCGACCAATGGAATAATAATTGATCCCTCAAGTCAATAAAATCAACTGGGAATTTTATGATTTCTCATAATTGAAAAGTGACATTCAACTATAAAATATCCATAAAAATAGGTCTAATGTTGACAATATGGAAATCCAGCTACTTTAAAGTCTATTTACTTGAGGAAATTGAAGTGAATTCAATTGTAATGGCTCTCCATGTTAAGATAATTGTTTGTATGGGAAACATATAAGTTGTGGTTTATATTGACCATTTGAAACAGTTTCCCCACCTTTACACAACGATTAGAGCCGTTAATATGGACTAGGCTCGTTAGATTGGTCTGAATTAATTTGTAATTTAATAAAGTTGGGTTAAGATTTTTGAAGTTCATTTAAGAAAAGAGGATTTTAACGTGACCTAAATAAGCGTGTTGATTTGTGAGGTTTGAGAAATATGAATTCTGCTATTTGAGGTTCGACCTTGAAACTCCTTCATTCGGATGGACACCCATTAATCATTATCACTACACTAAAGACATAACTTTTGTCAAGGGTGTCCAACTTTAAATGTACATCATTTAAATGTAAAATTTGACATAACTATACAACATAATTTTCCGACAAAGGGTGTTCAGTTGGACACTTTGGGGTGGCTGTAGCTACGCCCCTGCAGCCTTACACTTATGAATAAAATTTTCCAGCCATACCTTGATGAGTTCGTGGCCGGTCTGTGGGTCAAATAAAAATAAAATAGAGTATTAAAAAGCGAAAATTATGCAGAGTAGCAAACACTTAGCCTATATTAGGTACTATAGCCATAGTTTAAGAAAATTGTAATTCATAGCTACAGTTTCCCTAATTCCTCCGATTCGCCTGATTTGTATGAATCCAAAATTTGTATAATTCGGTTCATGATTGTATAAATCCAGAATTTTGTATATGTTTATCCTAGATATTTGTATGTGATTTATGAAAAATTCATAATATACTTATTCTATTTGTATATTCGCAAACGAAATATACAAATTGACAGAAATATACTAACCGCAACCTTTATAGCAAAAGAACTATAGCTATGGAACATAGTTATTGAAACTATAGCTATAGAGCCTCTTTATGTCTATTATGTTTGCTATTTCTAAAATTTTCTCTAAAATATAACTAGTGTCCAAACTCCAAACTGAAAATATATTTAAGATTTTAATTTAAATACAAATTATATTTATGAAATATGTAATTATGTAATACATAAAATTAAAAACTCCCTAGGAAATCACTATATAGGTCAACCTATTTATTCACGATCATCATCAGCCGCTTAGTAGTAATACGTCATAAGTTTAATGGAATATTTCTAAAGAATTCATTTTTCACTTTTTTTTATGACTGGAATATTTTCATTTTTATTTTGTATTTTATTGTGATAATGGGTAAACAATTAGATAATATATACTCGAAAACAGTCTATAAATCTTCGATAGGTGATGGGGCTCCTGAAGACACATACAATAACACAACAACTAATAATCTCAGGTCACAAAATTTTGCTTATAGTTTTATGCATAAATAAAATTTCAAAGTCAATAGTAATAATCTATATCTCCTACTAGAAGCAATGTTGTTCCTGACTGTCAATTCTTATCAGCCCTATTATCAAACCCAAGAACAGGACTTGATACTTGACGGAAATAAGTACTGTTATCTACCGAAAAAGAGTATCAAATTACTGTTGTGCACATTGCACTCTCTGTGCACCACCATGCATATCGTCATCATCTTCATCGTATGCCTCCTGGGCCTGTTGCTGCTGCTTCCTACGCATCTCCTCATCAATGTTCACATCATGCAAGGTGGTTTCCTCGCACTCGTCCAATTCCATATCGGATGCTTGTGTTTTAGGCCTTGCTGGCAGCACTGCTTCAAGATTCTTGCACAACTCTGGGGTTAATGTGTTGGGGAAGTCCACGGTGAAGTGAATGTACAGTTTCCCTTTCATGAATGGCCTTTGGTACATTGGCATTCCTTCATCATTTATGGCCTTAAATTGATCTATGGTGCCCAGAAAAAGAAAAAGAGATTGCACGATATCAGTACTTGCAGAGATTACACAAAAGATATTTGTAGATAACTACTTGCACAGAAACGTCATCCATAGAATACTCTCTCCCACTCCCTCTCCCTGCAGTGATATGTTTTTACGCCAATAGAAGTAAATCAGCAAGAAGACTGTTTAACCATGAGCAAGAGACGGTCATGTAGAGGCATATACTTGTATTGGCAAGTGAGGTATGGAATAAATAGACAGTCACGTAGAGGCATATACTTGTATTGGCAAGTGAGGTATGGAATAAATACAGTCATGTAGAGGCATATACTTATCAATGCATGCTCACCGTGTAGGTACAGAACAAGTGAGGTATAGAATAAGACCACAAAAGTTTAACTCAGTATGCACATTTGTAAATATTTTTAAAAAGAAAGGAAATAAAAGGAACACAGAGAATTACAACAGAGCAAAAACATGACGATGGTTTAGTTACCAGTTTGAGGGTTCAAAGAAAATCATACAAATACAACAAAATTTATTAGCATTCGCATCAAAGATATCTAAGTTAATACTTGAAAGCACATGCTATGACAAAGAAGCCTATGAAGGAGAGACTCTAAGAAATCAAAAATGATGCATCGTACAAATATCAGAATCAAAAGCCCATTATTAAGTTTCTTTGGCTTACCAGGCTTGACAACTTCTCCAGGTTGGGACTTGATTATCAGCTGTCTATTATCTAGGTGAGTCAAGACAAACTGAAAACCACAGAGAGCCTCAGTCAAGGTCAAGGTGTGTTCTACAAAGAGGTCATCTCCCTTTCGCTTAAACTTGGGATGTTCCTTCTGTTGCAAGATAAAAACTATGTCTCCAGTGACAGTATCAGGCTGCAACAGAACACAAACCATGTTAAAGATCAACAAAGGTTTTGGTCATCAAGAAACAAAATATTTCAAACACTTTGTTGCGTATCTTACCTCTTCATCAGCCTCTCCTGGAAATGTTATCTTTTGTCCATTTTGCATACCCTTATCCACAACAACTTCCAACACCTTCTTCTCCTGCACAACTTTCTCACCCTTGCACTGTGGACACCTGTCTTTCTCGTTGATTTTCTCACCAGTACCCCTACAATCATTACATGGGTGCTGCATCTGCTGGATCATAGGGCCAAGTTGTCTGATCGAAACTTTCATTCCTTTACCTTGGCATCCAGGACATTTCAATGAAGCACCTGATTTAGACCCTACCCTGGAAATACAGATATAGCAACATTTCAGCAGAACCTCACAAAATGTCAGTACATTATGCCAAATATAAATAACTACATTGCATACTCACCCCTTGCACTTTGTGCACAACACATTGCGAGATAGTGAAAGCTTCTTTGATATCCCATTGTAAAGATCCTCCAAAGAAACCTTGAGAGGGTGGACAACATCCTCCCCTCTCCTTTGCCGTCTTCCTCTGCTGCTTCCACCACCTAGACCATCAAAATAATCCACATCCATAAGAAATTGGAGATGCATGAAAGAAATTAGGAACTTCAACTACAAACATGCTTAGGAAGCATACCACCAAACCCGCCTCCACCAAAGAATGACTGGAATATGTCAAACGGATCGTGTCCACCACCTCCACCACCCATTCCTTCCTTAAGAGCATCTTCACCATACTGATCATAGATCTCACGCTTCTCTGGGTCATTCAAAACCTCATAGGCTTGGGCAATCTCCTTAAACTAAAATATAAAATATAAAATTTAAAATTTAAAATAGAATAACTTGACTACTGCACCTCAAGCATCACTACCACACAACAAGAAACATAATCAACATTAAACATAACATTACAGCAAATATTGTGACACTAAAGTACACATTCCTAACGATTAAAAATGTATCGGGCGCCAGCCACATTACTACTACTTAGGTTAAGCAGAAAAATAAGACCTAAAATCCTTTCTTCCCTTCAGAGATCAAGATCTTTTTTATCTACCCCACTCCTAGAAGGATCAACAGTGGGGATCCCTTTTAACCCCATGACTTGGAACTTCCAACATACCATATAGAAGAAATGTGTCTAGCAAACTAAGTCAATCCCAGGAGAGATCAGATTAAACCTACTGAACAATTGCAAGACCTAAATATCAGGTGACTTTTCGATAATGTTTTATGTCTGGGTCATCTTTCTTGCTCCTCTAATAACCCACCAGGCATCTCTTACCTTCCACTAGCCATGTCAGCAAAGCCAAGAATTTCAGATTCAAAAAATAGTAAAATGGCATAGTTCTGAGTAAATCTTGCGTCCTAAAACAACTTATGAATCCCCCTTACCATTACATTAGAATCATCTGCTAACGTCAAGGGGACTCAAAAGTTAATATCTAACCCAAAGGAAATATTTTTACTACTTTTACCCTATTTGCAACGAATAACTGGACCCCTTCCTTGCCTCTTAATAATTCTGCCCGTCCGCTAGCACAGGCATCCACCTCTATACAAGAAATTTATGTAGTATGTACAAATTATTAAATTTACAACCCAAATATCTCAAAAGGATTAAAATCCTGAATATTAAAGCTTCAAACTCTAACTCCACCTAGTATCCCACAAGCCAATCAAGCTTCACTAACAGTACCAATTTTCCCAGAACAACTAATTTCATAAAACAAAACCCAGAACAGATGCTAAGAGGGATCTAAGGTAAATAGCAAAACACTGATCCGCATACAAAGGTAAACAACAATCTCCCAAAAGGGGTCACAAAATTAGCAAAATCCATAACCAAAACAAGTCAAAGCAGAAAAAAAAAATTGAGATACGTAAAAAGGGTTACAAATTAGCAAAACCCATGAAAAAAATCGAAGTCACAACAGTATAAAGATCAATATTTTTACTTCTTCAGGATCACCACCCTTGTCAGGATGATTTTTAGTTGAGGCTTTAAGGTAAGCTTTCTTGAGATTGTCTTGTGGAGTACTATTAAGTACTCCCAAGATCTCATAGTACTTGGTGTTATCACTCTTCTTCAGTGCACTCCAGACATCTTTCAATACCTTAATAACTACTAATCAAAAGGACTAAAACCTGAAACCATAAAGCTTCAAATCCAAGCTCCCCCTCTTCCTAGTATCCCACAAGCCATTCCATCTTCACTAACAGTATCAACCTTCCCCTTTCAAATTTCCCCAGTATAATTAATATCTTAAGCTCTAAACCAAAACCAATAACAGAAACTAACTATCCTAAGCTCTAAACCAAAACCAATAACAGAAACTAAATATCCTATGGTCTAAACCAAAACCAATAACGGAAACTAAGAGGTACCTTAGTTAAACAACAATAAAAATTACAAAAAAGAACTGATCCATATACAAAGATAGACAACAAGCTACACAAAAGGCGTCACAAAATTAGCAAATGCATAAACACAAACCAAGACAGAACCCATAAAAGATGAAACAAAACCCATAAATTAGAGAAATTTACTTAGTACAGCAACTCCAAAGGACCAATATCCTGAAACCATAAAGCTTCAAACCCTAACTCCACCTCCACCTAATATCCCCACAAGCCATTCCATCTTCACAAACAGTATTAATCTTCCACTTTCAATTTTCCCCAGTAGAACTAACCTCCTAAGCTCTAAAACAAAACCCAAAACAGAAGCTAACAAGGATCTTAGGTAAACAGAAAAAAATTACAAAAAACTAATCTTTATACAAAGATAAACAAGCAAACCCCAGAACAGAAACTAACAGGCATCTTAGGTAATCAGCAAAAACTTGCAAAAAACTGGTCTTCATACAAAGATAAACAAGCACAACCCAGAACAGAAAATAACAGGGATTTTAGGTAAACAGCAAAAAAATTACAAAAAAAATTGATCTTTATACAAACAAAACCCAGGATCTCAAGTAAAGAGCAAAAAATTACAAAACCCAATATTCATATAAACAACAATCTACAAAAAGGGGTCACAGAATAACCAAATCCATACACAAAAACCAAGTCAAAACAGTAAAAAGACAAAAAAAAATACTTTTTCAGGATCACCACCCTTATCAGGATGATTCTTAATAGCTGCTTTACGATAAGCTTTCTTCAGATCATCTGGTGAAGCAGTATTAGGCACTCCCAAGATCTCATAGTACTTGGTGTTATCACTCTTCTTCGGTGCTCTCCCAAACATCTTTCAAACTTTTCACCTGCAAATCACAAATCCAATTCAATAATTACTCATAAAACCTTAAAAACAAATCAAATCATCAAAAAAGATTCAATTTTTTTGTAAATTTTGATACATACAGATAGGAATCTTCGTCAAGAAGATTAGGTCTTTAGGTGTTTGAGAAGAAGGAGAATGGGGAAGAGGAAGGGTGGGATCTGTGGTTTTATATGCAAATAAGGTAATTGGACGGCTGAGATTTGTTGTTGTATTGTAAATAGAAGGTTCTAGAAATTTAACTCTGTGTGGGCTTTTGGTATTCCTATGTTCCCACACTCAACAAAAATCCAACCCCTTCACTTCCAATTAAAAAAAGAATTATGTAATTACATGAATTAAAATAATATAATCTCTAAAAATTGTAATCATTAATTACAAAAACCCTTTTTTTTTTTGCTTCACTTTCTCTTGTAACTTATGTATTGTTTGATATGTATTAGATGAAGAGGAGCAATGTATTAACGATTTTTGAAAAATTTGAGATTATTCTAATTTGGAAAATATTCGAGATATATAGAATGTAATTAGTGTTTAAATTGTTGGAATTTTCTGTACTTTATATTTGTTAAAATAATTATAATATGGTAAACATATTATAAATGTTAATGTAATAAATTATTTCAATAAAAATATAATAAAATTCTGAATTTTAAGATTTTTGTTTTTAACGCAAGTTTTGATGATTAACAAATAAATTGGGATTGGGATTGGGATTGTGATTAGCGTATTCTTGATGCATTGTAAAAACAATAACAATAGTGTATTCAGACTTCTCTTTTTTTTTTTTTAATGAAGTAGAGAAGTTGTTTTTGATAGGTTCTTGATAGAATACACAATAAAAAAATATTAGAGATAAATAAAGCAAAAGAAATAACAATAGTAATAAAATCGTAGAGTAAGATAATACTTAAGTATAATGATTATATAATAGTACATATAAGTAAACAAATATTCAAACTAGAACCATGTTCTACCACTAACACTTTGTTTGGATGATTGTTACATATTATTCCATAATGTATCGTATCATATTGTATTGTGTTGTATTATCTCGTATTATATTGTTTTGATGAATACAATATTTGGATAAGTTGTATCGTTCTCCGGCATTACACAATGTCACACATCTATAATTTGAATGATAAACTTACAAGAAAACTAGGATACGGGTAGAACTACTATGAAAAGGTAAAATAAATGACAAAATAGAATTATCAAATAATAAATAAAGACAAAATGAGAATAAAATATTAAGGTAACAATGTGATCGCACCAAATCTGTCGTTACACGAAATGAGTTTTTTCATTGTTACCTAATGATGATACAATACAATAAAAGTTAAGTAACAATCAAAACAAACATTGTACTTAAGCTAACAATACAACGGGCAACAACCATTCAAACAAAGTGTAAGAAGAGAGAAAGACTGACTACCTACTAATTAACCACTTTCGTATCTAGGTCATGATATCAGTGAGTTAAAAATGTATCATGTCGTGTCTATAATCACCGTTCTCCATAAAAAAATCCAGTCCACTTCTACCTCTCCCCAAATCTATCACCGTCAACCTTTCGCACCTCCTCAGTGGCATATGTATTCTTCCATTTTACATGCCTAAATCATATTAGTTTTGTTTTTCGCATCTCGTTCACCATGAAGGTCGTATATCTTTGCTTCTAATCTTGTATCTTCTAGTATACTACATATCCATTTATGCATTCCCATTAAATTCTTCTACCTTCATTGTCTTAACACACAATTATTCTTGACTGATCAACATTCCACCAATATAACATAATATCAATGCATTGTCATTGAGATTACTCGGACCTGTCTTCAGGGGCGTAGCTAGAGCTAGTTGGACACCCTTCATCGGAAAATTACGTTGTATATATTTATCAAATTCTACATTTAAAGAATATATATATTTAAAATTGAACACCCTTAACAAAAGATATGCCTTTGGTCTATTGGTAATAGGTGTCCATTTGAATGAAGGAGTTTCGAGTTTGAATCTCAAATAGCACAATATTTTTTTGTTTTTATTTTAATAGTCACCCACCATTATTCTTGGTTACTCTTGATAAAATTTCTGGCTCCGGTCCGCCACTGCCGTATGTAATAATATAGAAGAGACAAGTGACAAAAATAACTTAACTATGTGGTCCAGTGTCATAGTAAAGCTCCATGATAGTTGGGAATCCTAAGTAGGAATTGTTGTATCATGGTGTCAGCCATTGTGTGATAGGGTGACGAATTTAAGATTTTTATTTAAAGGTTTAAAATATAAAAAGTACACATATAAAGAAGTTCAAGGAAATTCAACATCTACTATACATATAAAAATATAATTTTAATGATGTATAAACTATATATTTTTCATTGAAAGAGATCCAGATGAACCCCTTGACCTTATCTAGCTCCGCTTCTAGTGGATTGTATTGCTTAAGTCATATGAATTTTTGCTCGTAATTAATTATGATATTTGATTTGATTTGATTTCTATTTTCCCCTAGTAATTTGATTTTTGCTTAGATTATATTTACTATAAGTTGTGTAGAAGGTTTTTTGTGTTTTATTGAGGCATGCATGTTATGTACTTCAATAGAGACATTTGAGTGCATAGTTCAATGTAAGGAATGTGTAGTGAAATAAGCTAAGATATATTTGTTCTTATTAAAGTTGTTAATTCATAGTAGGTCAGTTTACTTTTGGCTTATTGTCTTTGAGTTATCACTTCATTCTGCTTATTAACAAGTATATTGTGAGTTTTTACTTTGTGAAATATACTAAAGGTTTTACTATGTGCAGAGTTCGAGAAAAAATTGAATCAGAAAAGTTTATTATGTGAAATAAAAAAAAAACTTATATGTATATCTGCAAGAGGTTGTTTCATAACTTGAATCCCTTACGTCACATGACTTAAAGGACAATTGCATAGTCGAGTCATCGACCGTTAAGTCAAGAAATTGGAATTAATCTTTTAGCTAGTAGCTAGGTTATATGGTTGTAATTTGAATATTGACTCATTATTTCATGATTTTAATTTGATGAACATTCATGTCTCGTGATTTAATTTCCCAAATAGGTTGTTAGACCAATCACGATATTTAAACCAAATTAATTCCTAAAAAATAAAAATAACAACTTTAAAGGCTAAATGTTGTTGAACAAACTTATATCAAATTATTAACAAAACAGTATGTTAAGGATTACAAGTAACTATAAACTTATATATTTATGTGACATCGTATTATGGACAATTGTAATGGAATGAATAAAAAAAATTATTTTTGAGTTAAGAGCTCTAAAATTAAAAAAACAATCTAATAACAAGTGTATTCGTCCGAGTCTGATGCGAGATAATTTAAAATAGTCGAGCACCAACGAAAAAATAGCAATCAAAATTTTACCCAATTAAGAATTAACTTGGTCAAACCTTTGATACTGCAGTGCTATTCCTGTGGAGACCATTATTTGAATTCTTTAAAACTCTAAAATAAAATAAATCAAAAACATATATATCAACATAGGTTGAAATATTTGTTATAGATTTTAGGTATAATAGTATTTTGGCTCTCTTAATTATTAGTAATTTTTTATTTTAATCCTTGTGATATTCAAAGCATATTTAAATTATTGATAAATTTTAATTTTAGTCTTTATAATATTTGACAAAGCATATTTAACCTCTAATTAATTGAAGTATTTTTTTTCTTCTTTATATACCTATTATATATTTGAACTATTTTTAGAATTATAATGTTGTCAAATATGAAGTAATACAAGTTTAACATTTTCTTACAATTCTGGGATAAATACTTTTCTTTTGAGCTAAGGATCTATTGGAAATACCATTTCTACCCAACAAAGATAAGGGTAATTAGTCCTACATACACCTTATCCTCCCTAAACCTCACTCGTGAAATTATACTAGGTATGTAATTTTTGTAATACAAGCTTAACGTAAGGTAATTAAGTGGTGAAACATTTGGTAATCATGGTAAATTTGTGAATGTTAGCAAAAACGTATATGTTTCACTTAATTGAAGGTCAAATATACTTAATCCTATATCATACGAACTAAAATCATAATTATCAATAACTGAGGGACTAACAATACTAATTTTCATCCTAGATTTTAAGTTCATTATAATATCAGTCATAAAATAAAGTATAGAATCAGGTCACTCATATAAATCGCATGTGTAATATATATATATATATATATATATATATATAGAATTGTTATTTGTTGAATAGAAGTTTTGATTTCTATTTCTAGAGTGTGTTTGTTTCCTAAAATAACTCACATCCTACCATGTCCACCTAAAGAATAGGAATTTAGACACGATCCCAACTACCTTGATAAGACCATCATCACCTTTCCTTTTTGTGAATTATCATGGCATCATTCTCTAATTTTCTTCATTATCCACAAAAATCCAATTTTAATTTTGCTTCTTCCTTCCTCCTCTTTGTTCCCTTTAGAATTTGGGAATAACATTTACAATTCCTCCTTGTGACCAAATCCTTCAATCACATTGTAAATAACACATTCAAATTAATTAATCATCTTCTTATATCTATCTTTAATTTCCTTTTAGTTATTTTCCCCTATAATTGTTATGTTTTACCTAAAGGGTGGCTATGTTTAATACACCCTTTGTTATATCCTTTGCACTTTTGTTATCATTCCCTCTCCTTTTCCTTTTCGCGCCACAAATCTTTCCACCTAAACACGTTGAGATCTCGATCCCTGATGAACTTGATGATCTTGCTTTGTTTCGTCGTGCAACCCTAGCTTCTATTGACGTGAACGGTGGTGCCATCTCACGACTTGGCACCACCAATCCCCGTATGAAGATCGCGTTTCTCTTTCTTACCAACACTGATCTCCATTTTGCCCCGTTATGGGATCGGTTTTTCGCCAATCATGATGATCTTTTCAACATTTACATCCATGCAGATCCATCATCCAAGATTACCCCACCTAGCGAACGCGTCTTCAAGGGCCGCTTCATCGCGTCTAAGCGAACACAACGTGCATCCCCTACCTTAATATCAGCCGCTCGCCGCCTTATGGCGACCGCCCTCCTAGACGACCCGTTAAATTCCTATTTTGCCCTTGTATCACAACATTGTATCCCTTTACATTCATTCAACTTCATTTACAACTCTCTCTTTCGATCTCAATTCCCTGAATATCGTAGCTTTATTCAAATACTATCGAACGAGTCGTACATGTGGGACCGTTACGTGGCACGTGGCGAGAGTGCAATGCTACCCGAGGTACCATTCGATCGGTTCCGGTTTGGGTCACAATTCTTTGTCCTCACACGAAGACATGCATTGGTAGTGATCAGAGATAGGAGATTATGGAGGAAATTTAGAATGACTTGTTTAAATGAGGATTCATGTTACCCGGAGGAACATTATTTTCCTACACTTTTGTCAATGGAGGACCCTCAAGGGTGCACACAATATACTTTGACACGTGTCAATTGGACGGAGAGTGTCGATGGACACCCACGTACTTATTTTCCTGCAAAAATTTCATCGGAGCTTATTTATAAGCTTCGGGAATCAAATTCTACGTATTCTCATATGTTTGCAAGAAAATTCTCACCGGATTGTTTGAAACCTTTGATGGATATCGCGGACAAGGTCATTTTCCGGGATTAAAGGTATGTTTTTTTAAAATAATAATAATAATATTTTGTATTAGAATTGCTACAAAAATACTAGTATTAATACATATATATCGTTCTTTATTGGCATTTTGTTTTCTAATTATTGATTCATTTGATTATTTTTTTCTTTTAATTTTTTATGGATCCCCAAAATTACCATTCACAACAATATCCATTTTTTTTATATGGTATAACTGAAACGTGTAAATTATCCTATTTTTCTTTTTTAGTAATTATGTTGTCTAAGTCAGCTTACATGCATATAGAATGCAATTTGTACCACTTGTATTTCCTACCTCTAATTACCATAAGTATCGCTGAGTCTATCTATAAGACAGAGACATATGAGAAGAAATCAACGCATTTTTACTTTTACTATAATTTGAACTAAAAGCTTCATGGTTCAGAACTCAATTCATCAAAAATTAGACCACACTATTAGGTTAATGGACCTACATTCACCTTGTTGGATGCTCAAGTACGGAGCCCTTTATTTTCCGACCTAAATTTTACTTAATTCTTAGGTAGAAAACTAGTGCATACAAATAGATCACTTGAGCTACTACATAATTTAAAATTTTAGATCCGTCACTGCATGACTTAATATCTACATGATTTTTTCGCTGAATAAATTTTCTTTATTTATGATAATATTGATCTAAGATGTGATTGACATGTTGTTTATTTGATTCTGCAGGCAAGTTCGAAATATTATATTTAGGTTATTGTAGGAACTCAAAAACTTCGAAGGCTGAAGCAGGAAGAGGCTAGGGCCCATGCCAAAGCCCTCTCACAATAAACAAAATTATGTTGCTATTTGGTGGTGTCTCTTGTACATAAAGTTAGAGAACTACCTTTGGCTTACTTGCTTGGTTGTGTTTACAAAGTGAGAAAAAAAATTGGTGTGATGGTCACAAATTGGTGCTTATTATGAGCTTAGAATGCAGTTAGAGAAGGATTTGGTGCAAAGGATAAGTAAAATGTAGTGGAACAAAACTTATCTCTTTGTTCGCCTTTCTTTTTACACATTCTTTCTCTATGAGGTTTCGACTTGTAACTTACATATATCTACCTCTTGTAACTTTTTATATATTATATAAACCTCGTATTTTATATTTGTGTAATGGGATTATATTGTAATCTAGAAGTAGAAGATTTTGCTCCTTATGTGTCAATTTTATTCCTTTTTTTTTGTGTAACAAAATTGCCTCATTTTAGCTTTTTTCAGTAGATAATCTTGCAGCTCATGTCATAAAATTAGTTTATTTTATTTTAGCTTTTTTTTTTTATCACTAAACTCCAATAAGACAATGATTTAGTGCAAATGATAAGCAAAATATTGTGAAACAAAGCATATCTCTTTGTTCGCCTTTTTTTTTTACACATATTTTTCTTTCTTAGGTTTCGATTGGTAAATAATCATATATTTCTTATAATTTATATATTATACAAAACTTTTTTTCTGTAATTGTGTGGCAGGATTAATAATATTAAAATTTAGAGGTTGAAAGTTTTGCTCCTAATGTGTTAGTCTAATTCTTTTCTTTTTTTGATTTAGTGTAACATAATTATGTTTTTATCTTGATTTTTTAATTATTAGTGATGTTGCTATCATGTGTCAATTTTATTCCCTTCCCCCCTTCTAGGCTTCTAGCTACTTGGTATAATAAAATCACCTTATTTAATTTTAATTTTCTGATATTTTAAAATATGCATTCATTAATATTCTATGTTCGTTAACATTTTCGAGTAATGTTTCATACTTAATGTTTGAAATGATTTTTTTCAAGTTGATTATTATAAAATTGATGTGCTTTGTGATTTAATTCAGTTTGGTATAAGTTTAACATACGTTCATTATCATTATTAAACTTCTCTTTTAAGTACTTGATTTAAGGGCATAATTAAGAACAAATAAAGCAAATTAAGAATGATTAATTTAAGAAACATGTCTATTTTTTTTTATTTCTAGAATTTTGATCAATTCCAAATTGATTGTGGAAACAAATAAATCAGATAGGATTTTAATACAAATCTTTTACTCTTTATTGATATTTTTTATATGTAAAATATGTGAGTTTCATGAACTCAAAGATATTTAGAATTATTATATTTCAAACAAGATTACATTAAAATTAAAAATAAATTGTGTAAACCTCCATTACAAAATGCTCTTATCCTCTTTATGATCTTCGTCTGTTCAAAGTCTATTCATAAACACGTTTTAAAAATATCTATACTATACTGAAATGATAGAGTAAGGTCAAAATATCACTTCTGAAAGAAAAATCACATTGAATTAGCCAAAACAGAAATGAATAGATATAAGCAATATTTGTGCTGTAAAATTTAAACACGTCAAAGAAATTTCGACATACATAGTAAGAACATATCCAATATGAATTTATAAGTGAAATATAAAGAGAATAGACTGTACGCAAAATATCTATCTATACTGAAATGATGGAGTAAGGCCAAAATATCACTTCTGAAAGAAAAATCACATCAAATTAGCCAAAACAGACATGAATAGATATAAACAAGATTTATGTCGTAAGATTTAACATGTTATAGATATTTTGACACACATTATAACAATAAAAACATATCCAATATGAATTTATAAGTGAAATATAAAGAGAATAGACTGAACGCACATCATTATTTTCGATACACATCGAATAAAGCCGAGAAAAAAAAAACAAGAGAAACATTCCCCTATAATAATATTTTTTTCCATTTCAAATTGACCATTATAGAAAAACAAAAGAAAAAAAAATACACTTTTGAGTAAAAAATAAATAAAACATGAGTCCACCATTGTCAACAAATATTGGACCCCTTTCATCGTCATCACACCCCACCCCCCCTTAACCTCCTTCCCTCAATTTCCACCATTTTTTTCTCCCAAATCTTCCTTGTTCCCTGCAAAATCTCAGCAAAACTCAATTTTGGAAGATGAGTATTTCAAGAAACTCAGGTGGGGTTGGAGGGGTAGTGAGTGGTGTTGATATGCTGAGTGAAAGAGCAAGAATGATGAGAGATTCATTGCAGAAGAGTCAGTCTATTACTGACAATGTTGTGAACATTTTGGGTTCCTTTGATCATCGTCTTTCTGCTCTTGAAACTGCTATGCGTCCTACCCAGGTTCTGATTTTACTTTTTGTATCAAATGGATGATAACCCATGTTCTGAAAATTTTGATCTATGAAGAGTTTGGTGTGTTGTAGAGTCATAACGTGAAGATCTTGGGTTTCGATAGATTTGCCTGATAATGTAGCAGCTGATTGTTTTGATAGATAATTCGAGTTGAGGTGTGAGCAAGCTAGTTCGGATTTCATGTTAGCATTTTGCCTCTTGCAGAAATGCAGGGTAAGGCTGTGTACAATAGATCCTTGGGGTTCATTCCTTTCCTAGAAGCCGCACATAGCTAGAGCTTAGTGCACTGAGCTGTCCTTTTAAGAAGTTATGGGTTTGGCCTAACCCAATTGTTTTGCCTCTTGCAGCAATGCAGGTTAAGGCAGTGTACAATAAACCCTTGTGGTCTGTCCAATTCCTAGACACGTGCATAGGGGGAATGTAGTGCGTTGGGCTGCCTTTTTCGTGTATATATGTTACGGAATCTACTAAATATGAACAAATCTTAGCTCAGACACCATGTTAGCATTTGGGATGGATACAGACCCCAGCCTGTATTTTTTGGTGTATTTGGAATGAAAGAAACTGGAGATTTTTCGATGGAGTTTCAACTCCAATTGGAAACTTGAGGCTAGTTGTTTGGTTAACCTTTTTAGCTGGGCTAACTGTTCACATGTAAATAACTTTGATCACCACATGGATTTTGTTCGCTCCTAAGCTCTATAAGCCTTTTGTTCTTTCTGAGTTGACAGATCCCCTTTTTGTATCTTTGCATCTACTGGATGCTTTGATGGAATCTCACTTACTGCATCAAGAAAAAAGAGAAGAAGTTACGGGTTCGGCCTGACTGAATTGTTTTGCCTTACACTGTATATATATGTTACACTGTATATATATGTTACAGAATCTACTAAATATGATCAAATATTAGCTCAGACACTATGGTAGCATTAGGGATGGATGCACAATAGAAGTTACAGGTTCGGCCTAACCCAGTTGTTTTGCCTCAAACCCTGTATAAGTATTAAGAGATCTACTAAATATGTACGAATATTAAGTTTTTAATCCAATTACTGAAATGGTCAGTAGTTATGGTATTTTGAATCCACAAAGTTCAAATCGTGATTTTGCGTCGGTTTAGCATAAATGTGGGAGAAAAGAGAAAGGGAAAGAAAGGGGTCATTTTAATTTGAATTTATAGAGCTTATTAGAGAAAAAGGGGACAATTTAGGAAACTAGGTGATTTTTGTTGAATGTTGAAGTGATACAATTCTTGGATTTGTTTAATTTCTTGTTTCCATTTTAGGCATACTCTTTCCTTTTCAATTCTTGGATTTTTTTAATTTCTTGTTTCTATTTTAGGCATACTCTTTCCTTTTCAATATTTTTTTTTCCTGATCTAATTTTGGGCTGCACTTGCTAATTTATATCATTTCTGTTTTGGTTCATTTCTTGACTGGTACTCAATTTGTTCTTTATAGATAAGGACTCATGCTATTAGGACGGTTCATGGAAACATTGACAAGGCTTTAAAGGCTGCTGAGGTTATACTGTCCCAATTTGATATTTCTCGTCAGGTTGCTCTAGCCTCTAATGTTTGTTATGTTGTTAATTTGCTTAGATCTGATAGAGATACTCCTTTTAGTTTCCTTAATTAAACATGGGCTTAGTAGCAAAGAGTACTTGTATTTAGCAGAATAGGAGTTATGGTGATCTTTGTTAGAGATAAAGACTCCAACCCACCTGATGGCTCTTCACGTTTGACTGGTGTTCAAGATAAACCGAAACTCTCCTCCAATATCTATGTGATATGTTTCAGATGTATACAAACAGGTAGAAATGAGTATAATCTTCCTAGAAAACCTGACAGGGGTACTATTTGTATAGTGCATAGGGATGGCAATGGGGCGGGACGCTTGTGGGGTGGGGTGGGTTATAGTATTTGTGGGGCAGTACGGGTTAGAGCTTTTGCGGAGGTGGGTTTAAAATGTTTTTGGAAAAAACATGCGGGGCGGGTACGCGGGTTGTTTTTAGGCTTCAAATTTGTTTGAATACTGGTTTGGGCAGTGAATATCCCAAATGGGAATTTTAGGAGAGAGTTCCTAGTATATGGTTTTGGGGGCAAACATTGTTCTTCCTAGAATGGAATAACACTCAGCTACTGTCTCCTTCTCAAAGCTCAAGGGATGTAAGCGGTGCTTTGATGGGATGAATTTTTTTCTATGTTGCTCGGACTCTTCAAAAATGTCGACAGGTGCATGTCGTATCCTCCAAAATAGTGTATTTTTGAAGGATCCGACATGGGTGCGGCAACATTTTGGCGAGTCCGAGCAACTTAGATTTTTTTTTTCTCATCAATTGTCTTCTCAAAGTGCAGGAGATGTTCATTTTTGTCATGAATTTATGAAAATAAAAGTGGTTTTGTCCCTATATAATGTTAGAAGCAGAAGAATGTTGGAGCTATGAGGGTGGGGAAAAAACAAAAATTTATGCTATGCGGGGCGGGTCAAAGTCCTTGCGGGTTAATGCGGGTTCACCCCTCCCTGCCCCATTTGCCATCCCTAGTTGTGCATAATTATACACCTTGTACATGAATGCAGGAGAGTACAGGAAAGCCTAACTTTCAGTATCCATTTCCTTTTTGAATTTCTTCATGATATTAGAGTTTAGGCTCATTGTGATGTTGGGGAAACTTCCTTTCCCTGCATGCACACCGTTTGTAAATGCTTTGAGATGAGACAGGATAATGATGAGTAAATTTGAACAAACACACCCTTACAATGGCATTTGTAGTCCCAAAATTTCAAGGTTCAAGGGGAACAACTCGTATAAACTTCTTTAGAGGAAGAGGACAATCAATAGGTAGAGACACTAGACCACCAACCAAGATGTTTTGGTAGCACAAGGGTTTGAATTTGAATTCTCCCATTGTTAGTTATTTTCATTGCTTGTGCTAATAAATTGTTTTTGAATTTAAATTCGCCGGAGAAGTGACCAGACTTGAATTTGAGTTCGCCGGAGAAAGTGAAAAAAAATCCCATTGCAAAATTGTAGTCTTTTTTTTTTGTCTTTATTAGGTGCAATGTATCCTTGTTTTCTTTGTGATAATTTTATCACTTAAGTTGGTCTCTCTTAAATGCACAGTACTTTAATTAGAACTTCTTAATAATGGTACCTCATTTTAGGCAGAAATTAAAATACTTAAAGGGCCACATGAGGACCTGGAAAGTTATCTTCAAGCAATTGACCAGCTGAGAGACAATATTCGCTTCTTCAGCAACAACAAAAGCTTCAAAAGTAGTGATGGAGTGCTCAATCATGCTAAAAGTTTGCTGACCAAGGCTATTTCAAAGCTTGAAGAGGAGTTTAAGCAGCTCTTGTTATCTTATAGGTTTGCTGACATTTTTACTGTTTTCATCATATTCTTTTTGTAGACTTGAAACCTTGTTCTGTACTCTATAGTTCATTCTTATCTTGTTTTCTAGATATTTTTCATGTAAATTCATTCACGGCAGGACTTCTGTGGAAACCTATTTGTAATTTTATGATTGTTTTGTGATTCAAGTATCAACATTGATTGGAATTGTAGTTTTCTCCTATCTTTCTGGTAAAGATTGGTGAAGTATAGCCATCAAATAATTGAATCCTTATAAAATAATAAAAAGCCTATAAGGAATTTAAAATGGTTGTTTCAGTCTCTTTAAGTTAGCCTTTATGTGGGTTGTAAATTGTGATTATGCTGTAGTACTATTTTTGGGATTGAGATTCGAGGCACTTTTTGTGAGGAGTGTCCTTGTTCTGCTATCAGTTATAAAATCCTATGTCTTGCCGATGTTCTTAACCTTCAGTACTCCAATGGAGGGTTCAGAATTGAAGTAGAAATGCATCCTTATACTGCTATATGACCTTCCAATGGAGCTTTTTGACTAAATCTGAATTTAACATTTTCAGTAAACCCATTGAACCTGACCGGCTGTTTGAGTGTCTGCCAAATTCAATGCGACCACCATCATCACCTGGACACCAGGACTCTAGTGGTAAGAGTCATCTGTCCAATAGTAATGCTGAGCAAAATGGTGCAGAAAACGCTGTCTTCACACCGCCAACCCTTATACCTCCAAGGATCCTGCCTTTACTACATGATTTAGCCCAACAGATGGTTCAAGCTGGCCACCAACAACAATTTGTAAAAATATACAGGTAAATATCTGTTTTTAACTATGAACTATGTGATCTTGTACAGACAATGTTTACTCATTGTATAATATCCAGGAGAAAAAATCAATCTACTGGGCTAAAAGCTGAAGTTTTTCTCTCTATTAATCAGTTCATGCAGAGAATAGGTGAAGCTTAAGATGAGGTAACTGCCTGACATGCTTTGTCAGTGTCTGGAGTTGAACTCATATATAGTTGATACAGTTTCTGCTTGTTGCAGAAGTTTAAATGTCCCATACAGTAAATAATGGGTTGTTCATCAATGTGGTTATTATGGCTTTTAATATTCTTATGCTGGAGTAACAAGAACAAGAGCAGTAAAGATGCTTTTTTTTTATGTGTAGAATACAATACCATGTACATTGTGCATCTTTTCATTCTCATTCCTATTCGGGATATTTTAGGGCTGTGTACTGTCTTGTCAAAGCAAGATAATCCTGGACATGTCTAGAAACTGCTAAACTCAAGGCTTGAACTTCAACAGTTTCTCAAGCCAAATGGCCCATTTCATTCTTAGGTATGAAATGAAAACTATTTGCCAGGTTGAAGATTTAATTACTCATTGACATCTAAATACTCTATAGAACTCAGCAGAAAGCAAACGAAATAGTGCATACATGGGTGGTGGTGGAGTCTCCAGGAAGCTCACTTTTGGTTTACGAGGATGACTGGAATAAAAGGAGACAAGCTGACTGAAAACAATTGTGTGTGAGCGAAAGAGCTCCTTAATATTCAGTCTTGCTCGAAATCTCAAATAGTCTAAGTCAGTTGGTAAATCTGTGTTGTTACGACCTCAAGTTTTATAATATAACTCATTCCACCTTTAACTTGGAGTTCAAAGGTGAAATACTATGATGCCCTTTTCTGGCAAGATGGAAGACCTTTTAGTTGCTTCAACTTTGTTCATATTGAAACCCCCTGGAATAGAAGAGTAGAAGGAAATAAGTAGTTGTGGTTTAAGTACCTTTTCATTCAGTGAACTCTTTTATTTACATATAGAGAGACCGAGGTGAGGAGTGTAAATCTGTGACTTCAGGACAAATTTCTTGGCTGTGCTCTTATTGTTTAGCATAAGTAGTAGTTTCTTGGTAAATTTTACACGCACATTGCAACGATGTGTTTTGAAGTGCTATAGATTCCTTTCCTCATTTCATTTCATTCCTTTTCTTATTCTTTTGATTTATAAATGTATCAATAGGGATACACGTTCTCCCGTACTGGAAGAAAGTCTTCGCAATTTAGGAGTGGAAAAACTTAGCAAAGATGATGTTCAGAAGATGCAATGGGAAGTTCTGGAAGCTAAAATTGGAAATTGGATTCATTTTATGCGAATTGCTGTAAGTTTTCTCTAATGACTCTGGAAGTAGATTAAAGCTTGCCTTTGACTTTCTTATGGTCAATTGAACAGGTCAAATTGTTATTTGCTGGTGAACGTAAGGTGTGTGATCAAATTCTTGAAGGATTTGATTCACTCAATGACCAATGTTTTGCTGAAGTAACTACTGCAAGTGTTGCTGTGTTGCTTAGTTTTGGTGATGCAATTGCAAAGAGCAAAAGATCACCTGAGAAGTTATTTGTGCTTCTAGATATGTATGAAATAATGCGGGAACTTCATTCAGAGGTATGAGACATACTAGCAAACAAGCATTTGATTCATTATATTATGCCTACATGGAATACCGGAAAAGAGCAAACAGACGACCGTTATACAAATTTCATGGTTTATATACTAACAATGTATAGTTTGAGCTCTACAACTAAGGATTTTGTAGAACCTACCCAAAAAATAAAACTAAGGAGTTCGTAGAATCTTTCTCTAGCCTTCTGGTCTGCATATAAGATGGAGATATTGCGTCTTTCTGCAGATTGAATCACTTTTCATAGGTAAAGCTTGCAATGAAATTAGGGAATCTGCCTTTGGTTTGACAAAGCAACTTGCCCAGACAGCCCAAGAAACCTTTGGTGATTTTGAAGAAGCAGTTGAAAAAGATGCAACCAAAACTGCCGTCTCAGATGGAACTGTCCATCCCTTGACCAGCTATGTGATTAATTATGTGAAGTTCCTGTTTGAGTAAGTTCACTCAACTACATAATGTGTTTTTTTTCTTCCATTTATGCATGAAAACTATGTCAGATAATAGCTTCCTTCTTCCAAGGGGATATTACTGGTTTACCACGTCTTCCTCACTAAATTGTATGATTACCATCAAGCGGGGTGTCCCAAGGACTCCTTAATGTGCCATAATATGAACATTTGTGCTAGCGAACTGTAGATAAAAATTACTCTAATTGCCATGGTTTCTGGATAAGCTCTGGATTTCTTTTGTTTTTCAGCTTTGAGGGTGGATAAATAAGTTCCATCATATACATGATACAATAAAGAAACACAAAGGAACTAGTTTGTTGTAACTTCTTAGACTAAGAACTGTCGCAGCTATGTTGGGACTTGGGCCTCAAGATTCATAAATAGAGAATTGTATAACACTAACCACAAATTTGGGCACAAGGGTTAACGTGAAGAGTCTTTAAGGTTTTGAGGATTCACATACCAACTGGATTAACATATATTTTAGGAAAGACCTTAAACCAAATTTTGCTCGACTGCAAGGTTGCAGAATGTTTTTGTTTTGTTTGTTCAGAGTTCGAATGTAAGTAACAGTGAAGCTGTGGGGATCTTTATTCTTGTAGATGAGGAATGCTATAATGACAGCCAGTTGTATCTGCTTATACCTATATTTGTGATGCCTTGTAAATAGCAGCAAGTAGTCCTTGTTAATTTAAGAAGTTAGTTAGGTGGTTAAGCTAGGTGGTTAGTGGTAACTGATCTATTAGTGGTAGAGATTGCTGGTTACCAACATGGGTTGTGGTGGGATGGTTGGGATCCTTCCATCCTTAACTAGAGGTCTCGGGTTCGGGGCACTGGGAATGGAAAAAGTTCTGTAGGGAGCGCTGCCCTCAGAAATGGGCCCTGCAATGCTGAATCTGGATTTAGTCGGGCCCTAATGCGGGTACTGGGTGGGAAACCAAAAAAATAAAAGAGAAGACGTTTCTGGTTAAGTAGAACATTTTTCATTCAAAGATTCCCCCCCCCCCACCACCACACACACGCACACACATTTTCATTTATTCAATTGTTTCAATTCAGAGAGCACAGGTTGAGCTCTTTGCATCCCTCTCAATCTCTCTCTCTCTCTGCATTTTGATCGTCCTCTAGACCTGAACTTCACTTAACATTTATGTTATGAGAAACAAATGGAGTTTGTAGTCTTGTCCCTCATGCTGCTGCCATGTTAGTGCTAAGCACAGAGAGAATAAACAATTAGCACATTATTATTTTTTCCATTTTTTATACTTTGCTACTCACCTGATATACCCGTTAGTGTGGATAGATTGAGTTATGTCTAAATTGTTTCTACTTCATAGCTTTAAGTTGCATTCAGTTTACACCTTACATATGGGGGAAAATTTATTTAGCAAAAGGAGACACCTGAAGATAAATAAGCTTGGTGTTCAAGCTCAGTGATTAATAGGCATTGTCAGATGAGAGGTGCTACTAGTGGAAATTGGAGGATGACTGTGGCAGTGGCATATTGTAAAGCTTGGGGAACAGTTGCCTTACAATAGTCATAAGTTCCTGAGTCAGTGGAGTTGCATAATTCAGATCTCAGGTAATCAAATGAGATAGGAGTTGAGTTAATTGGTCAGGGAGATTAATAATGTCAGATTTGAGAAAGATTTATACTAATTGGGCAATTACTGTGTACTATCAGGGTAATCGATTCCTATAATTTATTCCAAGAGAATTGCGGACTTCGTAGGTTTTAGGTCTATATTATGCAAAAGTTCTGGAGACTGAAAAGGGTATATGGAATGAGGTGATATCAATCAACTAAGCTTCTTCCAAATCAGTTGGAATCAACCACTGGAATCCTCTATATTTTCTTCTTATGGAAAGGAACACCTTGTAGATAAACTGTCAGTCTTTGTTGATATAATTGCCTTGACAAATTGCACATTTTTTTCCAGCTATCAATCAACATTGAAACAACTATTCCAAGAATTTGAAAATGGAGGAGATTCGAATTCTCAGCTAGCTGCTGTTACAATGCGTATAATGCAGGCTCTTCAAACCAATTTGGATGGAAAATCTAAGCAGTATAAGGATTCTGCTCTGACTCACTTGTTCCTTATGAACAATATTCACTATATGGTCAGATCTGTCCGCAGGTTTGTTGAACTAATATACATCGGGGTGAAGACCTCAAAGGTTATTGTATGTATTACTTTATGTTAGGGTGCTTATCGTTTGTTGCTTTTAGGTCTGAAGCCAAAGACTTATTAGGGGATGACTGGGTGCAAAGACACCGGAGAGTTGTACAGCAACATGCAAATCAATATAAAAGAATTGCTTGGGCGAAGGTATTTCTCATCTCGCTTTACCCTCCTTCCCATTCTCTGCCTCAAGAAAATGGGATTTTTTTTGTATAGGGGGTGGAGGTAGAGGGGTTAAGGAAGGAAGGGGACGAATTCAAATCTTAATTTTTGAACTAAGTTAATCATATTAGAGCTTCTCCAAGTCAAGGTCAAGTTAATTTCAGTACCATAAAGGATTGTTTTTTCTGGTGATAATTTTAATGGGCATTAGTCTTTCTGATTATGCTGTTTTTCACTTCTTCATTTTTTGTCTATGATTATGGTCTCAGTTAGAGTGATGATTGCCTTGCTTTCACTTGTTAAAGAAATTGTAGTAGCCTCTTTAATCCAAATTTCGTGCAAATTTCTTGCTCTTTTTGAGCTGTCTAATTTTTTCCAGATGGTGGAATTATGTGTTGCCATGAGCATGATCACAGTTTACATAAAATATGAAATTGGCCTATGATTGTCCTAATCAATACCTTGTTTTATTCTTGAGTAGATCCTTCAATGTCTATCGATTCAAGGGCTAACATCATCTGGAGGCAGTAGTTCTAGTGGTGTAGATGGACAAAATAGCAGTGGAGTTTCAAGATCCACTGTAAAAGAAAGGTAGGTTCTCAGGTTAATTATTTTATGAACTTCTATTGACAGTCATGATCTAATCTTGTTTCTGGTATGAAAACTTCTTGTTACTCTTTATCAGGTTCAAGATGTTCAATGCGCAGTTTGAAGAGCTTCATCAAAGGCAATCTCAATGGGCTGTTCCAGATACTGAGTTGAGAGAGTCATTGAGGCTTGCGGTTGCTGAAGTTTTGCTGCCTGCATACAGATCTTTCATTAAACGCTTTGGGTATGTTTAATTTGATTTTGCTATCATTTCTCTCTTGCATGCTTGTTTTCTGTGAACTCCAACACGATGTAGCTAGAAAGTTCTTTGGTCACTTGAAATGTTTCAAATATTTGAAGAAGAAACAGTTCGTTTGTTTCTTTATCTAAGTAAGTTGCATTAGTAGAAGAATATAACCTTCTGATCCGGTAAAAATCCATTCTTTACACTTTCCCGAATAAAATTTACACAGAAAGTACATAGAGTAATATAGATCACGAATGTGTAAAAGATGGTTGAAGAAATCATTTAAACAGTTTTGACTCCCGTAATAGTTAAGTCAGATAAAATGGAACATAAGGAGTGCTTTCCTTATGAAAGTTGAGATGATGTAAAATGCTTTCTTTTCCTGCGTGACAGGCCTTTGGTTGAGAGTGGTAAAAACGCCCAAAAGTACATCAGATATTCAGCTGAAGATCTTGACCGTATGCTGGGTGAATTCTTCGAGGGTAAGACGTTTAATGAACCCAAACGGTAAACCACAGCTATGCTCGATGCACTATCCTCTCCTCTGCCGTTGCTGATACAGTTGCTACATGATTGAGTTCCTACAACTAGTTGATGACAGCCTTCTGGTTCAACTCCGTTCGTTTTTTTTTTTAAAAGAGCATTCTGTATAGAGCAGTTCAGTAAATGAATATGGAATCTGTTCCAGTATTATAGTTTTGTCACATCTCTTGTCCAAAAATGTGGTGCTTGTATTAAAGATTGTCTATATTTTGCATGCTTTTGTACAGCAAAACCTTTTGATGTTTGCTCTTAAAGAGTTCTTTTTTGGTCCTAAATGTTTTTAGTTTTTCCTTGATACTTACACAATTACCTTTTGAATAACCTATGGTTAAATGAACAATAGAATAGATTTATATCTCCATACATATGCATTCATGGTGAATATACAACTGGATTGTATCAACAAGAATAAAGAGGGTTTTTTATTTATTGTGGCTCGGATCGATTTAGGCGTACCTCTCATCAACACAGATACTGGGTAACTTCTCCTTCGAGACTTGGACCGAGATGGAATCACCTAAGACAACATAATGCATGTATTCAAAGAAGAGTACTTCTAGGCTTTTGGATTCCTATTCAAAGAGTGCATGACTTAGGGTGTGTTTGGTATGAAGGAAAACATTTTCCGGAAAATGTTTTCCAATTTTCTCATGTTTGGTTGGGTTAAATGTTTTCCAAATCAACTCATTTTCCTCAAATTTAAGGAAAATAACTTCCCTTCAAAACTTAAGGAAAACATTTTCCAAACTCTCTTCCAACTTCCAATTAAAAAAAAAAATGTTGAAAAAATCAATTTATTTTGTCCCTACACTCAAACCAACCCCCACCCCCCCAAAAAAATAAAAAATTTAAGTTTGTTTTTAAATTCAATATTTTACCCCACCCTCACTCTACTCCCACGCCCTACCACCACCCCTCCCAAAAATATATTAAAAGTTGTTTTTAAAAGATATTTCTAATTTCAATTTTTTATTTTTTACCCCCCACCCCCTACCCTCGCCCCCCCCAGCCCTTATCAGCCCCCACCCCCTTCCAAAAGAAAAAAATTTAAGTTTGTTTTTAAAATATATTATTTCATTTTTTCACCCCTAACCTCGACCCCACCCCACCCCCTACCAGCCCCCCCCACCTCCCAAAAAAAAATTTTAAGTTTTATTTTTAAAAAATATTTTCGACTTCAAAATTTCATTTTTTCACCCCTACCCTTGACCCCCCACCCACCCACCCACCCTCTACCAGCCCCCCCACCCCCCCCCCCCAAAAAAAAAAAAAAAAAGTTTTAAGTTTGTTTTTAAAAAATATTTTCGACTTCAAAATTTCATTTTTTCACCCCTACCCTTGACCCCCCACCCACCCACCCACCCTCTACCAGCCCCCCCCCCCCCCAAAAAAAAAAAAAAAAAAGTTTAAGTTTGTTTTTAAAAAATATTTTCGACTTCAAAATTTCATTTTTTCACCCCTACCCTCGATCCCCCCCACCCACCTACCCACCCCCTACCAGCCCCCCCCCAAAAAAAAAAAGTTTAAGTTTGTTTTTAAAAAAAAATTTCGACTTCAAAATTTCATTTTTTCACCCTTACCCTCGACCCACCCACCCACCCCCTATCAGCCCCCCCCTCCCCCCACCCCACCCAAAAAAAAAAAGTTTAAGTTTGTTTTTAAAAACTATTTTCGACTTCAAAATATTTCATTTTTTCACCCCTACCCTCAACCCCCCACCCATCCACCCCCTACCAGCCCCCCCCCCCCAAAAAAAAAAAGTTTAAGTTTGTTTTTAAAAAATATTTTTAACTTCAAAATTTCAATTTTTCACCCCTACCCTCGACCCCCCCCCCCTCACCCCCTACCAGCCCCCACCCCAAAAAAAATTAAGTTTGTTTTTAAAAAATATTTTCAATTTCAAAAATTATTTTCTACTCTAGTAAAAATAAAAGAAATTTTTCAAAAACATTTTTCATTCATAAATCAAACACAAAAAATCTTTTCTGAAAAATATTTTCTACTCACCAACCAAACATGGGAAAATAAGTCAAAATCCAACTTGTTTTCCAAGAAAACATTTTCTAGGAAAACATTTTCCATGGAAAACATTTTCCTTCATACCAAACACACCCTTAATGTCAAAACTCACACTAGCCTGTTGATTTAAGATCTACATTTGAGATTTTCCTTGGGAAGTATCGAATAGGATTTGAAATGAAATAATATCAATTCATATAGAAGAGCAAGTTGGGGAGAGAATATTTCCACATTGGATTTATTAAAGATAGTACTAATTGAGTAGATAAAGATAGTAAAATCTGACCTTCACATTGATTTTCTTTAATAGTGAGTTGCTCTTTAATCCTCTCAAAATGGCAACGCTATACCTTTTTTGCGATTTCTACTAAATAATCCTACAATCAATAAATTCCCTCGTGAAACACTTTGGATCGAATAAATTTGATTAATTCCAAGAAATTTTTGATGGGGTAAAGGGAACAACTCAAATAAAAGAAAAAGGTATAAATATAACATGGATAGAAAAAAGTGCATTAAGGCTGGTTAGAAAGTTAAGTCCAAATTACTTTGTATGCTTAAAGAGATAATTGTAATTAGCTTTTAATTCACCAACTAAAACAATGTTTTATTATTCAACTACACTTGCCTGTTAATGACAACTTTGAGGTTTTGGAATTATAGAGGCGGATTCAGAATTTAAAGTTTATGAGTTCTTATAACAATCTCATTGTCTACGGAAGGTCTAAACAAAAACTACTAGTTCCCCGCCCCTGACATGTATTCACAACATTTCTTATATGCAGGGGCAAAACTAAAGAGTAAATTTCTTTTGTTAAAAAAATCACAGTATATACTAGGTCAAAGACCTCTATTTATCCATAGACAATAGATGTTCAACCCTTCAATGAAATTTATGTCTCCGTCACGACTTACGAGTATCCATATGGTCAGAAAAAAGAATAATTTTATCCAACTTATGGTTTGTTTTGCAGTACTTCTCTGGATATGTATGTGGAAATGTAATTGAAATAACAATTCCGTTGTAGTCTAGTTGGTTAGGATACTCGGCTCTCACCCGAGAGACCCGGGTTCAAGTCCCGGCAACGGAATTTCTTTTTTTTTTTTCCGTCTACTCTCATTTGAGAGACTTTGAGGTAGGAATAACGTCTGCCTACATTCTACCCTCCTCAAATTTCCGTCTACTCTCATTTGAGAGACTCTGAGGTAAGAATAACGTCTGCCTACATTCTATCCTCCTCAAATTTCCGTCTATTCTCATTTGAGAGACTCTGAGGTAAGAATAACGTCTGCCTACATTCTACCCTCCTCAAATCCCACCCGTAGAATTCTACCAAATATGTTGTTGATATTCTTTCATTTTTCGTCTACTCAAATCTCTTATTTGAGTTTCAAAAACAGCCTCTACCTCCATGTCATTTTCTGTCTATTCTCATTTGAGTCTTTCAAAAACAACCTCTACCTCCATGACTTTGAGGAAAAAGTAACGTCTGTCTACATTCTACCCTACTCAAATCTCACCCATGAAATTATACCAAATATGCTGTTGAACTGATAGTGACACATAAAATCTGATTACAAGAAAAAATGAAAATTGCAAAATAATAATGTGCATTTAACAAAAGTTACAGATTTAATACATATTTGTACATCCAAAACTAATCCCTTTAACTACTTCAAGTCTAAACCAAAAAGAGACATTTACAATTCAAGAATATGGAATAAATTGCACAATCTTAATCAAGCCAAACAATCACATACCCAGTGTAATCCCCGAGAAGGGTAGAGTGTACACAGACCTTACCCCTACCTCGTAGAAATAGATAAGTTGTTTACGATAAAATAAAACAATCTTGATCAAGACAAACTAGTGTCAAAATTCCATACACACCTAGGGACTCTTGGGCACAAGCAGCAGCTAGGCTGATAAAGATTATGCCAACGCCTCCTTCTAGAAATCTGAATCATTGTTAGCATTTCTTTATCTCATAAAAAGAACTACGTTCATCGTCACCACTGTCTGACCCTTCCTCATTCTCATCGTCATTTGATGTTGCATTAAGAGTTCGGTGAGAACTCCAATCAGGTGGGAAGGTCTTTTGAAGGGATTTTGTTATATTACCACCAGTCCTCTCAATTTTTCTCAAGCACTTGGACCAATGAACTGCAGTTCCCATATCAACAGTCAATCCAGACTCCACCATCTCTTCACAAACATGTTGGATTCCCGTTATAATGTTATCTTGATCAGCAACTGCTGCCCTTGACAACAATGATGTCATTACACAGTGGTATACAGCTTTGTCTGGTTTCAGACCAGATTGCTTCATCTGTTCAAAACATTTCAAACCCTTTTCGGGAAGAGAAGCTCGTGCCCAACCATGTATAAGAGTGGTATAGGTTTTTAAGTTAGGTTTGATCCCAACAGTTTCCATCTCTTCAACTGCTCTCATTGCTCTCTGTAAACCACATGAAAACATTGATCAGAATCTTTTGGTTATTACTTGTAATAACATAAAACAGTACATAATTATGTTTGCTAAGAAAAGCCACAATTTAAAGACCAATTAAGATAACGGAAAAGCAACTAAATCAAATTCCTGAAAGCAACTGATGCAAATAAACCTTGCAGGCCAAGTATTATTAGGACCATAAAGTTGCTAACTCAATGTCACGTGGATGAAATATATCTCAAATAACTTGGGCGTAGTAGTAATTGTTGTTTCACTGCATAATAGTTGCTCCGCTTTAAAATGCGTAATAAGAAACTATTGATCAGCATACGAAGTAACAAATGATTTCAACATATTCACCACAGGCATTAAGACAACTATCATCAAGTACGTACTTGCATGTCTCCAGCTTTACAACAAGCATTTATGAATGACGTGAATGTATGGATGTCAGGTGGAACTCCTTCTTGTCTCATCTGTTGCATCAGGTCAGCAGCCTCCCAGACATCACCTCGTCGAGCCCATCTGCATCAACACGATATACAGAAGAAAGGAGGAGAATCATGGTCTAGTAACAAGAAAGGCAAGCATGAACAGAAGAACCTCTGGAGAGTAGGGAAAGTGGAAATCTAAATTATGCTAATCGACATTCCTTCTGTTTTTGTTCTATTGGATGATGGTCCTAGAATAATTAAAGTATAAAATGTAAGATATGATCCTAACAAAAGCAGTACGATAAACAGGTACACATCAACTGTAAATCTAACCATACCCGTCAATTAATATGTTATAAACAAAGGTATTCCTTGGGATGCTTTTGGCACTCATTTCTTTTGTCACCATCAAAGCACTTTGCATCCTGCCTGATTTACAGCATGCCTTGAGTAACGCCTCATATGTATATATGTCGAGCTCTAAACCCTCATTTTTAACTTTTGAAAAATATTCACAAGCTTTTCCAATATCACCAAGAGATGCATAACCATGCATAATGGTTGTATATGTGTATTCATTTGGACTAACGCCGGCAAGCAACATATCGTCTAAAATTTGTACAGCCTTCTCCATCTGTATCAAGTTAAAGATAAAGTTAACAAATAAGGAGCCAAGGAAAAGCATTTGCATAAGCACGGCATTTTTTCAGAATAGAAATTGCAGATGCCAATAGGGTTCTTTGACTTTATTTTTTGCTATCTGATCAATCCAAAATGTGGGAGAGAATAAAAGGGAAATGGGTTAGGATGTGGGTCGGGTAAAAGGAAATGGATTAGGGGGTGGGTCGGGTTTTATTTGAATGGGTCCAATGTTACTTTAGATTTTAATTAAATATTGAGTCTTTTTAATTAGGTGATGTGGACCTTTAATAAGGGGCCACATGGCATAAATGATTTTGCAAAACTGGATATATTTTGTTAAAAAATAATGGCACGAATGAGCCCTTTTTATAAGGGCAGTGGCATAGATGAACCCAACTTTTACCGGATGGCATAAATGAAGCCATTTCTAATAGTTCGATGGCATATTTGAGCCTTTTCCTTCTAACTATAACACTGGCTTGCTACATTTTCCCAAGCTACAAATGAATATCCTCAAACGGAAAAAACATTTTTCCTCTCTTATTCCTTTGTTTTTTTCTTGGGGGGAGGGGGGGGGGGTTGTTGTTACAGGCAGCAGTGCTAGTTAACCATTATACGTGTCTGCCTGTATAATCAACAATTTGGCTTCAGTTTGGAATTTTTGATTTTATGTAAATAGATCACACTGACATGCATGTCCCCTGCTCCGATAGCAATTGACATGATAGGTCAGAAGCTAAAATGTGAGGCTCCTTTTAACTCTGCCTAATGCAAATATATGGTTCAGTCATTTACCTGACGCTTCTCAACAAGGCCAAGAACTAAAGCATTGAAAGTGTGAACACTTGGAATGCATCCACTCCTCCTCATCATATCAAAAACGTCAAGTGCTCTTCTTACTTCTCCAGCTTTTGCAAAAGCATGAATGATTGGCATAAATGTCCGTGAGTTTGGCATATACCTCTCCTTCTTCATTTCCTCAACAATGCGTAGGGCGCGATCCAAGTTACCCATGCCACAAAATGCTCTGATAATGTTATTATAAAGTACCACATCTGGCTTCAAACCATCTCTTATTACATCCTCAAAAATTGCAAAAGCATTAGCCCAATCTTTCAAATTTATGAATCCATTCATCAATATGGAATATGTCTTCATGTTATGCTTTATGCCAGCCAATTTCATCATTTCACTGACCTCAAAAGCTTTGGATACCTTACCAATCTGCAATGGTTTAACACCAATTATACGAAATTCAGATGAACAAAAGAAGTTGTAATATGACTTATAAACAATATCAAGTTGTGAGTAGTAGCTAGAATTATATGCTCAAATGGCCCAAAGATTTCATATTGCAGACCCTAACTAGTTTGGAATAAAGCGTAGTCGACTAAAGAATGATGGACTGATTGAAATGGAAAAGAAGCGAAGAGCTAATATGACCAAGCTACCCAATTTAGTACTTTGACTTGATATACACTTGTTGGCAACCCCTAAATAAAGGGTTCTTGCTGGTTGCATAGTAGCTAAATTTTTATTTGTTTAGCACAAGTAAAAGTGTGGACCTTCCACACTGTTGAGTCTTGGCTTTTCTGAAGGAAGAATCTGACATGTTAAACTGAGAGCGGAAGTCCGAATCTAAACTCAATTATTCTTAAAGTGCCAATTGCCTATATCTGCATGGTCTATGCTACAGATATCAGACCAAGAGTGCGAGAAAAAAGAACATATAAAAAGAAGAAAATTCCGCAAGTTTTTTTTCCTGCAAGTATGAAGCAACTTAACAAGTTAAACGTAAGGAAGATTCTGAATGATCTAACAGCAAGCAGAGTAACCTACCTTGATATAGAGGTTCATCAAACATCCATAGCTGACAACTGAAGGTGTAAATCCACACTCCTGCGATAATAATTACAGTAACTCTTTAGATCAATCATCAAGGACGCTTAACATTCAGAGCACATGCAGCTGCCTATTCATCTTAAAAGCACTGTTTAGAAAGGCAGTGCTTTACTGCTATTTTGAATTGTTCAGGTTTTCTACTTTCTCCTTTTCTGTATGAAGAGTTTTCTTCACTTATGGAAAACATTTGATGACGCTTAGAATACTTCATAGCAAAATGTCTAAGGTAAAGCCTGAAGGCTGTCCCAGTCCCTGTTGATGAAAATGTCAACCATCTTTGTTTTTTTGAGAAAGTAAATGGCAACCATCTCTTCTCTTACGAACACCACTTCGTAGCAAAATGTTACAATTTGCTAATCCTTTCTATCTAAAAGTTATATTAGTAGAAAAAATTATGTCATAAATACAGCAGTAAGATGCCCAAAAATAAATAAACTTAGATAACTAAAGCCTATTTGACCTAAAACCAGCTCTTCTAATAAGGTATTAACAAAGGAAGAGTAGAGGTCTCTCAGAAGGATAAAGGGAAAAAGGAAAACAAATGCTTCAATATAATGTTCACTTGACATTCTCCAATTTTTCTCAATAAAGAAACTACAATATCCAACCAAAATAAAACGAACATGAGAAAAAACCATATTAAACACGTAGAGATACATTGAACAAACTTTTACCTTAAGTCTATCAAATACAATGAGACAGTTTTCTTCATTTCCTATCATAGTATAACCATCCATCATGGTATGATAGATATCAATTGGAGCATCGATACCCTCCTCTTCCATCTCCCTGACCAATTCTTCGGCTCGATCCATATTGAATGTTTGGCTGACATTTGACAATAAAGCCAACAGACAACATTAATTTGTAATAATATCTTTAGGAAAAAAGTTTAATATGAGAAGGCTGAAGAGAAGGAATACTGCTGCAGAAATTAGCATTTGGCCAACATTAACTCGTAATAATGTCCTATAAAATAATATGAGAGAACTGCAGAGAATGAATAGTGCTGCAGCAATTAGATTTTGCCAACAACAGCAATTGTTTACACTTAAACTGCATACACAAGACCAAACAAACTCTAACACGAAAGAGAAAAAACAAAAAGGATCAAATTCAATGAAAACACACCAGTTAGCATAGATGATATTCCCATATATGATTGCATTTAATGTCAGATCCCTCTTTTTGGCTTCCTCAAACCATCGCTCAGCAGCTCTTCAAGAAACAGAAAGAGAAATGACATATCAGGAAAAGTTCTCATCAGATATCCCGAATGAAAGTTAATACTCAGAAAACTAGAGAGAACTCTTGATAAAAAACAAATAAATTGAGAGAACTAAGAAAGCTAGATTACTCAAGAGAAGTGTTAAGTGAAGACAATTCTTTTACGCATTAAAGACATTACCATACACACATTTACCAAATATGGAAAATCAGTTTTTTTTTTTTCAGGTTTCTTATTTTCTAGCATGCAGTAGGACTAAGTTGTTTAGATGCCATGGGGGCTACATTTCAAAGAAAAGAAACAACTGAACAGAACAGTACAGATACTCCCCCAGTGTAAGGCATTGAGCAAAGGTTAAAGCCTAAATGTGGTTGATTACCCAATTCAGTACCAGTTGGCTGTTAAGTTATTAGACTTAGCCATTAAGTATGTTTGATAAGGTAAATTAAAAATCACTTAAGAGATCTGCTGGTCATTGAAATGCTTATACGAAAGTTTAGGTGCAAACAACTCAAACCTAAGAATGATGAATATCAGATGACTTTTTGATAAAGATGATGCATATTAAAAGATAGATGATAGAGATTTCAATGCCTAGAATTTTGCATGTGAAAATGCAACATGTTACTTTAGATTATTGAGGTTAACAAAAATACTTGTCTGTATACTGGAGAAACATGACTGGCATCTGACCTTACATATAAGAAAATATGTGACAATTATTGAGGTTAACAAAAATATTTGTCTGTATACTGGAGAATTTTGATTTGCATATGATGTTATAAGCAAATAAGTGCTCATACATTCAGCTTATTAATAATCACAAATTGTTCAAGAGAGATATGTTTAACTTTCTACTCTAACAATTTCAAGGATGATAACTTTAATCATGCACAATTTTATATTTTAATACTTAAAATAGAGAATATAGACATATTTAAAGATAGTCTAATCAAGTCTCAATTTTTGCTCTCTGATATTGTTTTCAGTTTCATCAAACATCCGAGGTCCTTTATTAAACAAAGGTGAAAAAAGGAGAGCCCAACATTTTCAAACTAATCAAACTTAACAAAGCTAAGTCAATGTTAAAAACGAACACAATGATAAATGAATAACAACATTTAAAAGTGGTTGAATTGCTCACTCTATATTGCCGACTTTGGCAAATCCTCCAATAAGAATGCTGTAAGTTACAAGACTCAATTCAATTCCTTCATCTTTCATTTTCCTCACACAACATAGTGCTTCTTCCATGTCTCTACCCACTGCATAAGCATGAATAAGGCTGCAAATGCGAAACACTTCCTTTGAAGCAATACAGATAATACAGTATCCATTTTCTTTTCATTTTCAGGAGTAGCATATAACACAGAACCAATTTTCAGAAGTAGCAATGTTATATATTTCAGAGGAAATAAGCATAGCATTAAGTAGTTACAATAATAACCAGTTCCCACAAGTGTCTAAAGAAAATATTTTTTTGTGGGGGGTGGGATGGGGGACAGGTTTGGGTTACACTTTAAAAAAGAAGAAATGTTGAACTGAAGAATGAGCAAATATGTGGCCAAGATTGGCCTTGAATCATATCCGTCCATAAGGATTTAGTTATGGGGTTATTTACTGGAAGAGTTGTCTAACGATGGATAGATAGAACTGAAGTAACAGTTAATAAAGGTGAACTAACTTGGTATATACATGACAAGTTGGTTCTATTCCTCGAGCACACATCTTCTCAAAGGTTTCACGTGCACGATGCATGTCACCCCTCCTTGCGTAGTAGTTCACCATTAAGCCAAACTCTTTCCTGGATGGCTACAAATAGAAGGAATTATTTTATCTGGAAGATATGATCAAGAGTTCCTTAAAAGCCTAACACACAACTACACATGAGACTAAAATGAAAGTAAGGTATACCATAAATGAATATTAACTTTTCTTCCACAGGAAGGCATATCAGAGATAGTAGTAATAATAAGCAGTATATAGTAGAATGTAAATGTATTTACATGCAAGTACAGCATATCCACAAGCCAATAGAAGTCTTCCAGGACTAGAAATCATCAAAAGTACACATTGTTGCTGCTAGTTACAATCGAAGGAACAACATAACTTCTCTAGCACTTCATCTTATCCTTAAATATATGACACATAATCTTATAAAATTAGGGGTAAACCATGAATGAAGATCTCCGTTTCTTGGGTCAACGGAGAAGGGGATGAACAATTAAGGACGAGGGAGTAACTAATAAGAATTATTACAACAACATATCCAGTGTAATCTCTATGTTTGTGGGTTTGAGAGGTTGTTTCCAACAGACCCTTGGCTCAAAAGGAATGTTATCGAAGTAGAATTGCAAGAAAAATATAACAACCAAATAGCACAATACAAAGCAAATAAAGCAATTAATAGTACCACACATAGAAGAATAGAAGACTAGGCAATTACTAAATACTACTACCAATAATGAGAAGAGGAAAAGGAGGAGGCTAGTCCCCTACCCTCCCACATAAAGTGCGACAATACTAGGCTACCTACTAACCTTCTACCCTAATCCTCGACCTCCATACCTTCCTGTCTAGGGTCATGTGGATATTTGCTTTTTTCAGTTTCCGACCTCTCTTGCTCTAGAGCCACAAAGAAGCAAGATAGAGGAATATCAGAAAAAGGAAACATTGATAGTTGATAATAAGTACTAGACATATCACTTTCTCATTACCAAAGCAAATAGCTCATAAATATTTGCACTCACCATTTAGCACCAAAAGTATTGCCACATTAACTAAGCTAATAGCACATAATGAACCAACTTAATTCATCCAATTCTAAAACCTTATCATGTTTTTGCTTGTAACAAGTAAAAAATGTACTAACTTAAGTATCTAAACACTTCCAATCATACATTTTAAGGGACTACAGCACTGCAAGCAGAGTACTGAAGTATTCCAGTAAGCATAACACCTTCTTGATTCTCTCAAAAGCCCGAACAACCGCCTGCCAATTCTCCGGCTGTGTTTCTAGAACCTTCTTGAAATCTCTCCCAGACCCCTCCATCGCCTCGTGCCACATGTTCCTCTCCTCTATTTTCTCTTTCAATCTCCTCCCATCATCCAATTTCACAGTCAATACCCTTCCATGAAATTCAACACCATCAAACTCCACTGCCTTCATAGCTGCTTTCTCTGCAATTGGACCCTCATATTTCAAAAACCCAAAACCCATATTCTTTTCATTCCCACTATTACCCTTTATCAAAATCACATTCTTTATAGCCCCAAATTGTCTAAAAAACTCAGTAACCTCCTTCTCTTTAATCCATAATGGCAAATTCCCCACAAAGATTCTTCCTTTTTCCTTATTTTCAACTCTTTTCCGCATTTCCTCATTTTTTGCTAATAGTGGTGGAGGGGTTGGGGTTGGGGGTGGGGGTGGGGCTGGGGGTGGTGACAGTTTCTTGGATAGCCATAGCTTGTTATGGAGATTAGGTGGTGGGGTGGAATTAAGTAGATGTTTGAGGGGTTTTTTGGTAAATATAGGAGTGTATGGAGGAGGGATTTTTTCAGGTGAGTTGGAGGAGGATTTTCTGAGGGAGGAGAAGACGGTGGCGGAGTGGTGGTTTCCGGTGAGAATGGCGGCGGAGAAGGGTGGCGGAGATGGAGAGAGGGAGAAGATGGTATCCATTATCAGTTAACTCAACTGGGGAGTGAGAACTGAGAAGACAAAGAAGAGATGAAAATTTTCAAAGGGAAAATCTTGATTTTTGAGTGGTGAATGAGGGGCAAATTTCGATCCGTCTCAATTTATACGATATTTTTTTGAATTTCGAGATTGAAAAGAAGTACTATTTCTTTAGCCATAATCTTTAAATATTTTCATCAATTAATCCAAGAAGGAATTGGTGCTATGTCAATTTTACCATAACTAGCCATATATTTTTTTTATTTTCCACACGATATCCAGAGTTCATATTGGATCCCCGATTAAATTTGAAACATGCATTGCAGGGCTAATTCTGGGATGATGCTCCCAACATGATTTTCTCCATACTCAGACTCAAACATGAGACTTCTGATTAAGGGTGAAACAATCTCATTACTGCATGACAACTCATGTTGATCATTTCTTTACTGTTAATATAAAGTGATACATCATTTGTTCCGTTGATTCAACTATCTATGCCTATGACAATGAACTTCACTAAGCACTCTTTCTCACTCATTTTACTATTTGTCAATGGCATATCAAGAATTGCAAATGCAAGTGACCATGACATTTCTTCACACTTCATCTTCCTAACTAGGGCAGGAGCTAGATGAACGCAAAGGGTTTCATGTGAACCCCCTTTGTTGGAAAATCATATCGTATGAATGAGAAGTTCCATTAATAAAGTTTCTGCCTCTGCCACTGTGCTAATGCCTCTCAACAAATCAAACAATGTGTGAAGACTTCTTCACTTACATTGGCATGCCCACAAACCTTTATTGCGACAAAAGCTAGTCAGGCAAAATTCCCAACTCTAAATGGAAAGTGTCTCACTTGCCATGTTACCATTTCCTTCGGGTGTTGTTAACGATAACCCCCCTCCCTCTCTAACACACATACCCTTGTGTCTCTGAGCTCTTGTTCCTCGTACAAGGTGTTCTAGAAGCTGGATTCATCGACACAAAGAACATTCTTTATACGTAGAAGCCAAGATCCGTAGACACGTTTGTTTTCCCTTAGAGGACTAGTTTACTATCCGTGTAACGTGAACCATTATAAACAAGTTGTGGCCCTCTCTGCATTTGGTAGCGCGCATGTTGACATTGTCACACCCCTATTTTTTCCCAAAACGAAGTGTTTGAAAAATAGAGTTTCTCCAATTAAAGTGACATTTTGAAAAGGGATTATTTTTATTTCAGAGTCGCCACTTGGAATCGAGTTTTGGCGTTCCAAGTCACCTTAATTTTACCCCTAATCAAAAAGAAGTTGACTCTAATTTTTAATGGTCTGCGAACTAGAAATATGGATAAGAAATTCTATTGACCAAGGGGAAGGTGTAAGGCACCCCTCGAGTCCCGTGTTTCTAGCACAGTTGCTTCATTGACTTATATCTTGGCTTGACTTAGTTTTTGGATATAGTATACTTATCAGCTATACATTTACTTATGTCCCACCTTCTTTGATTTATTGTAACTATCTTGTTTAGATTTTTTAGAGTCCGGAGAATTTTAGTATTGTCGTTTTAGTGGGAGTCGATATTTGAATTATAATAGAAGGTAAACTTCTACGGGATTTAGGATTAATTTTAGAAAAAGAAAATGTTAAAGAGGTTGAAACCAATTTCTTGAAATTTTTCTTTTTCTTATTTTTCTTCTATTTTATTTTTTTTGCACGTTACTTTTTGTAGTTTTTACTTTCATTCATTTTTTTATTTTTTATTTTTAACATTCTGTTTCTTCTTACTTTTATTTTATTTTTATTTGATTTTTGTCTAACAAAATATTTCTTTTTCTAATTTTCTTCTATTTATTTTTTGCACGTTATTTTTTTTTTGTAGTTTTTACTTTTTTATTTATTTTATTTTTCTTTACATTCTGTTTCTTCTTCTTCTTACTTTTATTTTTATTTGTTGTTTTTATCTAACAAAAATGTTTTTCTTCTTTTTTATTTAAATAATTTTTTGGCTAAGTTTTGTTTTCCCCTTTTTTATTTTTACCTTTTCTTTATTTTTTGCTCTTTATAACTTTTCATCTTTTGTTTCTTCTGTTTTTGTTTTAAATGTTTATTTATTTTATTCTTACTTTCTTTTTAATGATCTAGTCCTCTTCTTTTTATTATCTTCATCTTTCTATTCTGCACTATTTTGTTTTATTATTATACTTTTCTCTGCTCACGTTTTCTTTTTTTATTTTGTATATTATTTTTTAATTAATTTTTTCCTTTAAACTAATTGAGAGAAAAATAATACACGTAGTGATATAATAATTTTTCTTCACCAAATGATGATAGTGTGAAATTACTAATAAAAGAACTATCTCACGTTGATGAATTAATGACTCACTTAAATGAACTAATGTTCATCTCCTCCATTTTTAATATTTCGGATACGATAAAAATTATTCTAATAATTAATTGTCTCCATAAGTATGGCAATATTATTTATTTATTAAACTCCAGAAACTCTAAATGATAACTAATACAGAATCTCTAACCAATTTACACGTAATTAAATTAAAGTCATAAACGAAGTTGTCAATTTGTACCATCAAATAAATGTACATAAACATGTTGAAATAAAACTAGGAGTAAACAACAACCATCTTTGGATCAAATTAGTTGATTAAATTAACGTCAGGTGTAAAAATAATTCGATGAGCAAATTTAAACAGTAGCAATTCATGCAATCAACAATATGATATGCGTCATAAAATAGTGGCATATAACAATACATGTAATTTTAAGGACTTCATAACATCATAATCGAATTCAGAACAATTATTTCATTGAACTATATAAGGAATTAGAATTACCTTTTCGTAAAACTTAATTCCAACAAAAGAAACCGCTACAATCTACTGATTTTCAAAGTTAATTATAATTAACTTTAAGGAGCCACGAACTTGAATCCACGAACAAAAATCTATCTGACTTAAAGTGTATATGCTTTTTTTTTTTTGTGCACTCTATTCCATATAACTGATGATGGTGATCTCTATCTCCCCTTTTTGTACGTTTGTGTTCTTATATATATAGGATAGGTTTTTTGCTTTTTTGCAGATTTTCTTGGTACGTGTGTGTGTGGGTCTCCTTTTGTTATTGACTTTTTCTTCCTTTAGTCATGTGAAGTGGGAGTGTAGAGAATTGTGGGAAAGTGGGAGTGTGGGGGTGTATGGTATTGTTGTTGTTTATTTATTTACTTATTTTAAAAAGCAGCAAACTGTTTTTGCTCTTCTTTTCCTTACGTGTAGTATGTTTTTGGGTAGGTATAGGAGTGGGGTAGGTTTGTTAGATTAATTAGGTTATTTTTTATTTACTTTTTAGTTTTAGTTTTATTTTAATCTTAAAAGAATAGCATATCAACTAATTATTTAAAATTAATAAAAATCTAAGAAAAAGTCAACTAGCTATAAGATAAGATCAATTAAATAATACTAGCTTATTTATAAAAACTTAATTTCAAATATAGTTTTTTTTTTTGTAATCTTTCATTTCTTTTTAAACAATTGACAATAAAACTTACCTTAAAAAGTGATTCTATTTTGTTGTTTGCAAATCTTTTAAAAATAAGCTTAATAAAATAAGATAACAGTCAAAATATTTAATTTATATTTATAAAAATATTTTAGCTCTAAAAATGGTATAAGATTTTAAGCTCGGTCAAAAATACGTGTCTACAGACATTGTTTCATTGCCCTTGTCAATTTTTGGCAATAACATTGTTGATAAAACACTTACTAAGGTATTTTTGAGACTACTGTTGGCACCATTGACAAGATCAAAGTAGGATGTAATGTTTATACCATACCTTGAATTTAAGCCTTTAGTTACTAGCCAAAAGCAGCCTATGTCGCTTGAACTCTCCAAAAATGTTATCAACCTGTGTCAGATCTTCCAAAAAATTTACTATTTTGGAAGGATCTAACTCCACTCGTCTACATTTTTGAAGAGTCCGAGCAACACAGCTAAAGTCTTGCTTGTGTGTATGAACAATACAATCTTCCCTTGGGTACGAAATGCAAGTCAATACGTACCCCTTTTCGATTAGGCTTTCATCGAGGAACGAGCCTTCGGATTGATCTACTGATCCTGAACTCAACTGTCTTGCACAAGTTCCACAAGTACCAGCCCTGCATGAGTATGGAAGTTCCATTCCTGCATCTTCTGCAGTATCAAGAATGTATCGATCATCGGGTACTTCAATCTCGTTTTCGATACCATTAGGATCTATCAATTTCACCTTGTATAGTGCCATTGTTGAGACTTTGAACTTGGAGAAAGAATTCAATCCAAATGTTTTGGAAATGCTCTTCAAAGAACCCAGAACATGATTGATTTAACGTATAGTCACTAAACTTTATCGACTATAAACAAAAAAAATAGTTTTGTGAGGGTACTATTACTTTAATATGATGAAAAATAGTCTTTCTTACTTTATTGTTATATAGCGGATAAAGTTCAGTAAAGATATGTGAAATTAACTCATCTAGAGTACATGAAGGCTTTTTGGTGAAGGCATAGGATTTTGTTGATCGTGCACCTTTGAGCAAGTAAGATGAAGGAATGCTAATTGTTGACATGTTACACCTAGGAAACATAAAATGATTTGATTAATTAAACTAAATTAATCTATTAGCATTATAAATCAAGATCTAACAAATAATTGTTGACGTGTAATATATTCAGTGAAATCCCACTAAATGAAATTTGGAGAGGATTGAGTGTTCGACTATTTCTAAAGTATATATTTTGATCAACGCAAATAAATAAAAATTAGCAAGAGAAACTTAAATAATACAATTCATACCATACATAAAATTCAAAGACATAATTGATGAGTAGAGAAAATATGAACCTATGAAGATGATAATTTTGAGGAGCAAAGCTACAATTCCTGTTCGGTGACACTCTTTTAGATATATGTATGTTTATATTATATAGTCTGAATTCTACTAATAAAAACAAACAAAAAGAAAACTCATTCACTTAAACTGTTGAAGTGGCAAAAAAGCAAAGCAAACAACAAAAAAGCTATCGTATTATCTAAGTGAGGTCTGTAAATATATATACGGAGATATTCGGAGTCTAGAGGTGTTTTTGTGATTTATATTAGGATAACTAAAAATATGTATGATAGAGCTAAAATTTGGATAAAAACCGTAAAAGGTGATTCAAAACACTTTTTGAGACCATCAACTCGTTTATATTTACATTAGTAATGGACGAATTGCCATGGCATATTCAAGAAGAGGTATTATGATATATGTTATTCACAGATGATATAGTATTGATCGACAAAACACACTGTGAACTTACACTTAATATGTAGTTTAATAACATTTGTTGTCATTGGTATAAATCATTGAAACACCTTCTTGCTCTGCAGAAATGCTAAGTTCAATGGCCTATAACATACTCAACGTAGTCCAACCCTTCCTAAGATGATGCAAATAACACGAGTTTAATGCATCGAGCTGCTTTCTTATTCTACTGCAACACAAAGATACTAAGACCATCTCCAACCCCAATCTATTTTACTCTCCATTCTCTATATTTGGAGAGTAAAATAGAGAAAGGGCTCTCCAACCACCCTCTAAATGACTCTCTATTCTTCATTTATAGAGAGGTGAATAATAGTTCTCCAAATTTGGAGAACTACTATTCATCTCTCTATTTCACTTTTTCATTATTTTATTATTATTTCTATTATTTTGTAGTTAACATATTATTTTTCATATAAGACCATTAATTATATCTCTAATATTAGTAATTCATTTTAAATGTAATATAACAACAACAACAACAACATACCCAGTGAAATCCCACTAGGTGGACATTTTAAATGTAATATAACATTTTAAAAAATATATTATTTAATATATACTACTTTCATCCTGAATTAATAATGTTTCAATTTTTTTAATTTTCGTCACTTGAATATAGTTTGATATCATTATTATTTTCACTATGAAGAATGCACAAAATTAAAATGATAAGATGAAAAATTTAATTTAAAAATACAAAACATGACATAATAATTTAAATACAAGATAACAATACATAACATAATAATTTTATCACAACGATAATTTAGTAGTCCGGTAGGTCATTTTTCAGATTTAACAATATTCGGAAAAAATTAGTGTATGATCCACATAATTAGTGTAGTTGTGATTGCGGTTGTGCTTGTTGATTTCTTTTTTCAATTATTCGTAGTTGTTCTTGTTGAATGAAAATCTCCGATTTGAACAATCTTTAGCTAGACATAAAATGATTAAGGATAAAAATGCTCATTTTAAATTCCGTAATGCATTAATAGAACATTTATGAGAGCAATGTAATAATCTTGAAAGTAGAGTATTTATGTAATTATATTTCACTAATAATTTCACTTTTATTTGAATTGTCCATTAATTTGTATATTATATAATATTAACTTGCAATTTATGTTATTTATAAATTTAGGAAAAATATAATTTTATATTAAGTAAAGAATTTGAGAAAATAAATTTTTATATTACATGAATATTATATAAAGTGATTATTTGGGGGAAAAAAAGGAAGTAAAGGATGTGTATCATGAAATAAGAAAATAAGAATGAAATATAAATAATAATATAATATTGAGGAAAGAGAAAAAGATTCTTTTTTAGAGAATAAAATAGAGAATTGGATAGGAGTTGGTTGTCTGAAAAATAGAGAACTCTATAGTTGAAAAGTAAAATAGAGATTAGGGTTGGAGATGCCCTTTAACTGCTTTTTTAAGAAAAAGAGAATCCTGATACACAAAAAATACAGTTTCTCAACATGCATAGGCTTTAAAATAGTTTTAAGATTTTTTTGTGTCAACACAATCCTGGCAATCAAACAATTTCTATTACAAGAGTATATCAAGAGAGCAAGCTTCTACTTGATAAAAAGAAGCAAAAAATCTCAATCAACAAGTATAGTGTGTAATCAAAAGTTAAGACAAACAGCCAATCATCTATAGTTAATTGGTCTTGCAACTGCGTCAATCGATCAGGAACGATCATGAGCACTCGACAGAACCACGGAACTAACTCCAACTTTTGGGGAAGAGAGACGATCCTTCGACCATTCCTCTAAAGCTTTACGGTGCAGAGCGTTCATTCGTATGTATGGCCGTTTTTCTTTGATCAACTTCTCAGCATTTTTCCAGTCTTCTGCTAGACCAAGAGCTACTAACAGTGCACACATGACTGCAACACTCCTTCCATGACCTAGAGGAAACAAATCAAGAATTTACGATGAAATATCAGTGATGCGTTTTATGTTCATTGCAATGATCTATTGAAGCATCAAAGAAACTGATAAGGAAGTTAAGCTCTTCAAGACAGTTTCCTGCAGGCATTGCTGTTGATTGATGCAGTTTAAGTACTCTCTCCGTTTCAATTTGTTAGTCTGGTTTTGACTTTGACGTGGAGTTTAAGAAAGTAAAGATGACTTTTGAATCTTGCGGTCTTAAGCAAAAGATATGTCAAATATACCAAAATACCTTTAATCTTGTGGTCTTAAACTTGTCATGTGAAAAGTTGAAATTAAAAAGTAGCCAAAAAAGATAAGAGGCCTTCTTTTTGAAACGGACTAAAAAGAAAATAGACAAACAAACTGAAACAAAGAGAGTAGTACATAAGTTGTCACTACATGCAAGAGAACACATTTACTTCTACAATCTTTATCCTAAAATGATAACTTCCCAGAAAGACTTAAGGTTTCATGGCTTTAACTATGGGCCTGCACGTTGTATCAATGGTTATTACTAGGAAAATCTCACAATCAAAACGTGGACACTTCTAAAAGCAGCGTGAAACCGCTCATATAAAACTCTAACAAACACAGTGAAGCCTGCGGAATTGTTTTAATAGAGGTCCTTAATCATCACTATTTTTTATGACCGTGGTGTCTGGGTCAGCTTTTGTGCACCTCGACTAATTCCACGGTATACCTGTCTCGTCCGACCAACAACTCTGTCCACCAAGGCTAGGACAAATGGGAAGAAAACTCACCTAGTGTTTTAAGTCTATGCTGGGATTTAAAACCTAAGACCTCATGGTTCTCAATCCACTTCATTGAACACTAGGTCACCCTTGGATGCATCCTTAATCATCACATTATTTGGCAGCAAAGAGTATTTTAATAAGGCTCTGCACATTGACCTCCTGTTTGTAAGGCTGATTGGTATCTATCAGTCAAACCCTAGCCTAAGGAACTGTACTTTCATAACCAAAACTGGCTTTCATAATGTAAACTACCAGTCGAAGAGTGCAATCAATTTTCTATTACCTTTTCTCAAAGAAAAAACCTGCAAGTTGTATAGATGATCTATTTATAGAAATGCATGTAGACAAATCGAAGTGTAAATACAATAGCTAATGTAACTATGCAATAATATGGGATTGTCTTTAACGACCTCAGAAGCACCACTTGCTGCTAATAAGTAGCCAAAATTTCCCAGTGGAGTCAAAGCAATCACAAGTTTAGCATGGTATAATAGTTTCTGTTTATTTCCAACAATTGGGATGAACCATCTGAAGTTTACCACTTCATTTTGTCCTCTCTTTAAACTCCTCAGTCGAAAATCAAAAGAATAGGTTGTTATATATTTTAGACAACCTTCACGTCATGAGTTAGGCTTAAGGTCCATTTTATTAACCAATATCAATATGCTATGACCAACCGACATGGTACCTATGAGAATACACAGTATTTTATCAAATATTCATCTTCTATGGTGTCAAATCTTCAAGGCATGACTCAAAAATGTTATTAGGCTTCTGTTTGAAGAATCATTCATCCGTTTCTAGTTGAGAGGAAATTTGATTAGGTTTCCGTACACACAAACTGTAGCAAATTTCGCTACCTCAACATGGAATCATACTACATTAAGTTTAGAGACTTAAATCAATCAAAGAATATAAGTTAAGTATGTACATTTCAACCCTTATCTAATTACTTTCTTTTCAGGCACTTCTACCTCAAGGGCTAGTGGCGCACAGTTTAAAACTTGGTGGATAATGGGTCTATCCCTCTACCTTTCTCCACTTCAATACCAGCTTTTTGTTTGCAACAGAGTTCTAACCCATGTTGTGCACCTCTACTATTGTTTTTTTTGAAGATTTTTCTTTTTTACATTTGCTTCCTACATTTTGTAAATATTAATGTATGCTAAATGTATTAGAAGATTACATGTTTATTTATTCTAGAAACCTTATTAATATTGACCATGTATCTTTTCCTTTTCCAAGAATACTTCATCTCTTCTTTCATGTTTGTATCGCCATCTATTTGTTCATGGTCAGACACAATAATAACCTAGCTTTAGAGCTAACATCATTCAGTTAAATCAGACCATGTAGATGGACAATGGTAGGATCAAGGAAAACCAACACACAAGAACCGGAGGAAATAAATTATGACCATAAGTAGTTAAGTAACATGATGACCAGATGAGACGGAACTCCCAAAGTCACTACCCTTCTCCCAACATACACCATACCTATATCATCAAGAAGAACATGATCTGTCTTTGAAGGAACCATGTATACATTGAACATTGAATACAAACTTGAAATAGAATAATTGTTAAAGAATTTTAAAAGCCTCGGGAAGAGCATCATACTTTGAATTTCTTACATAGAGACATTATTATATAGGCTCATGCAAATTTAATGCCCAATTTGAGCAACAATTGCTGTTCAGAGGTTTCACATCACGATATATTAAATAAACTATAAAACCACAATAGAAGAGTGTATGATTAAGTCAAAACCACATTCATTTCCTTACAAAGAAAATAATAGTTTTGATGCAAGAAACCTGACCTACAGCGACTTAATTGTACAGACACACCTAAACTAGCACAATATTCACTGAACATATCACAAAAATTCACAATGTTAGCTCACAAAATAACAAGGTCCATTTTGGACAAGTACCTCAAAGTAGTATAACATTTATGTATATACGGAAGCAGTTCAAAAAATTTAAGCAAGTTATTAACAACCATATTTTCTAAGACTTGAAGGACATTATAAAAAATGATCACCTCATGACTACCTCAAGTTTTAATCTTGGGAAAAAAAATCAAAATCATATGGAAGATTTTTACATTTGTTTTGGATATTGCTAAACCAAGCCTGCCATTGGTAAATCACACCAGCAGCTCTCATCTATGGATAAGTCACCTTATAGATATCAATTCGGCCAGAGACAACTCATGCTTTCCCTATGGAAAATGGATAATAAACTGCTAGCTTTCTCCTATGAAATATCAGTTGAGAAGTTCAACGGTTTTCAGTAATAAATACAACAGGAGAACCAAAAATATGAACCCAAAGGGCACCTTAGGATGTGTCTAGTGGTCAATGAAGTGGGTTGAGAACCCTGAGGTTCTCAGGTTCAAATTCTAGCAAAGACAAAAACGCAAGGTGATTTCTTCCATCTTTCCTAACCTTGGTGGACGGACTTATGTACCTGTTGCTGATGGAAGGTGGAAGGTAACCTGTGGAATTAGTCGAGATGTGCAATAGCTAAGCAACACCAAAAACTTTTAAAATCTAAAGGACATATCAATACCCTCATTTCATTGCTACAAATACATTCATCTGAAACAAAGTTTAAAGTTCACAATCATACCATATGCACAATGGATGAAAACAGGTATCTTCTGAGCTCTTTTTCTACAAGCCCACTTAACAGCAACCTCTATATCAGCTGGCTGAGGTGACCTAGTATCCCAAGTAGGAATACACAAAAATGCATGATTTCCAGTAAACTCCAACATCCTAGGCATCTCACAAGTACAATCAATAATAGCAGGATTACCAGGTGGCAATTTATCAGGTGAACAAGGCCAACCCCCAACATACAACCCTTCAGAAATCTCACTATATGGAGGTTCCCCACTCTTCATTCTTCTCAAAGCTGAAAAACCCCTAACAAAATACAAGTAAGGACTAAACATAACAAGTGACCAAATTGGAAATGTCCCATCTGAGTTTTTCCCCAAAAGAATTGGAAGATCAATTGAAGGGTTAGCAGCTAATGCTACCAATAAAGATACCAATGATGCATACAAACAAGGTATTGACAATAATGGGTATCCATAATTCTTGAGAGTTGCAAATAATATGAATAAAGTTACTGACTTTAGGCCTATAAGCACAGAAATTCCAACACCCATTTCAGTTCTTGACCAAAGAATCGATTTTTAAGCCAAAAAATCAGATACAAAGTCGAAAATTCAAATGGGTTGTGCCCAGTTCAAGAAGATACGAGAAGGGAAAATCGAGAAAATTGAGAGTCTAATGGAGAGAAAGAGGGAAAATCAAGAAGACAGGCAAATCGCTTGATGAGAGGGGAAAGAACTTGACTTTTAGGAGTTGTTTGGTTGGAGTTAGGAACCTAATGAGAAAAATGAGTTAATTAAAACAAAAACTCATTTGAATTACTCCTTCCGTCCCGTATTATGTAACACTTTTCAGATTTCGAGATTCAAACAAATCTATTTTAACTGTAAGTTTTTCATCGATCTTTTAAAAATTTTGAATTTTCAATTAGCGTGACTTATAATATTTTTTACCTAATTTACAAATATATAAATTTTTTTTTTAAAATAAAATAAAATTTCAAGAGCGGTTCCACGGACAGTAGATGTTTTTACGACCCGTAGGTCGTCTCGTGAACCTTAGACCTAAGAACCAATTTTCAAGAGCATGGTTCCACATACCCACCTACGGTTCGTAGATACCTCTGCGGGCCGTAGATGCCTTTCGTGGCACCAAACTGCAGAAATTTTTCATGGTCTAATTTTCGGTAGAATTTTTGGGGTGTTACATGATCTTTCAACCTCTATCGAAAGACCTGGATTTTGGTTGCCAAAGGCTATATCAAAGGCCATCGCTAACTCATCAAAGCTTGAAGGTTAAGAAGCAAGGGGAAAAAATCCATCAGATCGAGGAGTCAATTTTCTTGTGAACATTTCTAGCGTACAAGGTCTTGTACGACGATTCAAAATGGACATGTTGGATTGAATATGAGCGGGTTGAAAATGGGTTAGACAAAAAGGAAAAGATCCCATCAAATAAAAACAAGCGGGAGAGAACACATGTCATTATACTGGAAAATAGTAACTATCAAAATTCTTTCTTGTTTTCATTTCTCTCTTGTAATTAAACACTCGAGATTTTAGTCCTTTTTAAGTTATTGAGTTCAAAACTAGTAATATTTTAGAACATAAACTGGAAAATTCTTCAACTTTAACAAACATAAGAAATCACATTACAACAACAAAACACGAATAAGGCTTCATGGATAGTTAGACATTATTAGTTCATTAGTCTTGTTCATTTTAGTTGTTTTGATATAAGACTTGAGTTACCTCATTGGCCAGTTGAATGTTTCCTTTACAACATTCTAAGTTTATTTCATAAGTTTATCTTTGAGTTCTTTTATATGTTGTAAAGTCTTCCGCCGAGTAGTAAGTCAAGCCAATGGTTCGTTTGGGGTCAACAATGGTTCTCGGGTGTCAGTCCCGCCCAGGGTGTAGGCTCGGATCGTGACGGTAGAGACGCAAGGAGTCTGAGATAGGGAAGGGGTTGTGCACCATCAATACTTGGGAGCAATTTTGAGAAGAGTTCAAGAAGGCCTTCTTCCCTAACAACGTCATCTATGAGGTCAAAACACAAGTTTAGGGAATTGAAGCAAACAGATAGCATTCGGGCATACGTGAAGGAGTTCACCACTCTCACGCTTCAAATCCCCAACCTTACGGATGAAGACATGTTGTTCCACTTTATGGACGGATTGCAAAATTGGGCCAAGACGGAGTTGGAGCGGCGACAAGTCAAGACCATCGATGAGGCCATCACCCAAGCTGAAGCTTTGACTGACTTCAAGCATGACCGGCATGACAAGACAAAAGGCAAGGATGCAAGGAGTAGTCATGCTAAAGGTGGGGGAGATCGTGACCAAGGCAAGGAGCAACAAGCACTGTTATGTCGTAATTTTACTATATTTAGAAAATTCACTTTTTGAAATGTTCTAAGTATAAAACAATTTGAAAAAAATACTTAGAAAATAGTCATCACTTAATTTTTTAAAAGAAATTAAGAAAACTTATAATTTAAAAAGACTCTAACAAATTAAGTCTTTAAAATTTTAGAGAAAATGGGTAATAGGTTCTCTTTTACACTTCAAGAAGGTTTTTAAGGCATTTGAAGCGTCCGCTAATACGCGGTTATCCTACGACTTGGTTAAAATATATTTTGACTTAGGAAAATGATTATAAAAATAATTTACAAAATTTGATTTGAACTTGGAGAAAAATAATTAAATAAAGGACACCTTTTATTTTATTTCGTAGATAAAGGGACCTAAAATGAAACATTTGAATTAATTTACAAATGATTAAGATTTTAAGAAAAACTAGATTATTTAAAATTTATTTGAATCTTTTTTTTTTTTTTTTTTTTAAAAAATAATAATAATTTAGACCGGTTTGGTCAATTAAAGCATGAAAACTAATTAAATTAATTGAAAAAGGTTTTGACAAAAATATATTTGATTAAAATTAAAATATAAGAGTAGATAAGAAACAATTTTTTGTCAAAATAAACTAACATAAAGAATATACTTCATCTTTTGAGGAAATTAATTAATTAAATCAAATCAAATAAAGTTTAGAGTTAATACAATAAACAAATAATGATAAGAGAAAGAATAAAATCAAATTTTGAGCATTCGGCCCAATCTGTCCTAATACTAAAGGGGGGAACTTACATAAATATACTATAGATAAAAAATATTTATCATTTATAGTAATAACATTTTTTTTCACTTGATCACTTTTAATACATTTATAATACAGTTTTAATACATATTACAAAAAAATAATTTATTATTCACATATAATATAAGTTTTGTTGATGGATAATACATTTATCACACATGTTAATACACTTATAATACAATGTGTCAACTTCTTACCAAACAAGCATAATATATTTTTAAAAACATTCATAATACATACATATTGCAATATTTAATTCACTTTTAATACACATTACAAATTTAGCATAGTATTGCTATATATTGTTATAAATGATAATAAATAAATAATATCGCTAAAATCAATAATTATTTATTAAAAGACACAAATTACTAAAGGTCTGCTGCGAATTAGATGGGCCTTAGCCCATTACCTTTCCTGCTGAAACTGCTGTGCAAATCAAGATAAAAATTTAGGCTTTTCACCCATTTTTTACCCCTGAAAAATCTGTGTATACAACGAGTGTATACCACCATATATGGGCTGTAAATTTTTTGAATATTGGACTGCATACCAAATATATACAGCCCACTTTAACCCCTGCAACCTGTATTTTTGTACTTGGAGCCGTATATCAATATTTTAGGGACCTGAAATCAGTCTTTACCCCCTGTAAATTCGACTTGCAAAACTTGAACAAAATGATGGCAGACTCGATGGAGAAAATTTGGGCCTACATGGCCCAATAAGCGATGCAAGACCGTAGCTAGAGTCAATGGGACGATTACATGCACAAAGAAAGAAACAAATTGAGAATATAATTAAAAGGGAATATGAGAAGTTCCAGCAAATACTACTCTAAATCAACAAACTCACAACAATCCAACTTTGGGCATTTTCACAATTTTAAGCAAGAGAAAAGAAGAGAGATACTGGAATTAACACCCATGATGATCAATCTATCCTACAAATTAAAACTAAAATTAAACTAACATCTTTAGACATAAACCAAACTCGAGCTAGTGACAAAAATGAACAATACCAACGTTGCCTTCGACTAGAAATTTAAGTAGACATTTGGCCATGCGATATCATATCACGATATGAAATTTTGAGATGGAATCAATGTTTGAACATGCGATTTTACGCTAATTCCATCTCATGATTCCATATCATGAGATGTGATTCCATATTCTCCAAAAAACATGATATGAAATTATATGTGAATACCAGTTCATGATTTGAGATTTTTTAAACACAAACATTGATCCACAAGTTTATAGTTTGTTAAAACAACCCCACGGACTTTTGAACAGTGGCGGATCTATGCAAAGGTTTGGGGGTGCCACGCCACCCCCGAACTTCGACGGAAACTCTATATATACATAGGTATATATATATAATATTTATATAAATATAAAGCGTGCCACCCACAAAACAAAATTGTCTTGTGGTGCCATGGTAGGAGGGCAACTTTAGAATGCTGATGTTGCGGGTTCGAATCCCATTTGTACCTATTTTTTTGAGAAATTTGATGCAGACGTTTTTTAAGAAAAAAAAAAAGGCTCCAAGCACTGGCACAATTTTTATTTTTATTTTTTTATAATTGTTATTGACTTAAATTAAATTAATTACATTATTACTCCTTTGAATTTTCTTTTATTTGATTAAATACTCAATAAAAGTGTAATATCTTATTATTTACATTTTATTGATTGATTTATGATATATATCGAAAAGACAAATAATTTAATCAAATATAAAATTAATTTAATCGATAAGTTTATTTGGCACCCACAGACTCTAAATCCTGGATCCGCCACTGCTTTTGAAGGTTGGAAAAATAGATTCAGAATACTGAAACAAGGCATGAACCATTATGATATTGACACACAAGTGAAAATTGTCATAGTTTGTGCAGTGTTACATAATTATTTGCAAGAAGGAGTGATGAGATATTTATGGTCTACGAGCATGAAAATATAGTTGCGGATGATATTGACCAACAAATGACTCAAAGTAACAATGTTGGTTCGTCTTATCGATCACATGATCGAGAAATGCAAGTTCAACCTGAGGAGATTGTCCGTATTATGTGGGATGATTATATTAAAGATTGCCCGTATTATGTGGGAGAAATGGGCTGGGAATGGAGAAAGAATGGGCTTGGGTATCATTTGATAAGTTGGGCTGCTGAAAGGTTGTGAAAGGGCCCAAATTTTTGGTTTTTGATTGGGTTTATAGATGACATGAGCAATTGGCTAAAAATTGCAACAAGACAAATTTTCATAAATTAATTAATGAGCTTCTTAATCTTAACGAAATAAAATAATTAATTTAATTACAAACTAATTAACTCGAAAGTACAACTATAACTTAAAGTAAATTAATAAAATATTTAATTAAAATGTAAAATCTTTTGTGATAATTTTCAAATATTTATGAAAACAACGTGACTGTAAAAATATACATATTTATTATTTAAAAATTATTAAAGTGACAAAATTACTCTAAAAATAACTTGAAAGTATTTTGAATTTCATAAAACTAATTCAAGATTATAACCATCACTAATAAAATATTTAAAATATAAAATCTTTTTGAGATGATTTTTGAATATTCATAAAATACATTG